TTATATTCAAATCCCAATTTTCAATCTTTCATAAATTTATTTACTGTAATTAAACTAAATATTTTTTATTATAACATTTTTCCCGACATATATGTTCATTTTACATAAAAATATTTATAGCGCAATTTATAAAATGCATTTAAGTTTAATTTATTATTAGTAGTAATTTTTTTTTTATAATTAAAAATGAAAGATACGGAAGCCCGTTGATGCCAGTTCAGATAAAGAAATATTTTTATTGCGTTTAAACGCAATAATTATTGCGTTTAAACGCAAAACTTTGCGTTTAATCGCAATAATCATTGCGTTTAAACGCAAAACACTTTGCGTTTAATCACAAAAGATTACAATTAAAAGCAATTCTTTGCGATTAAACGCAATAATTATTGCGTTTAATCGCAATAAATTTTGCGTTTAAACGCAATACAGTCATTCCCGTATAATTCATACAAATGAAAAAAACGCGATGTCGCCAATACATTTCAAAGCTATGGTTACTGATATTCAAATTATTCCTTGACCCTTTATGTTAACATATTTTACCACACAAAATAACATTAGCTGTTATATTTTTTTTAATTTTTTCTCTCTGAGTATTTACACAAAAGGAAGCCCAGAATCGTGTAAAAGGCGATGTCGCCATCGTATACCTTGCTGCTTGAATGTGCATTATATTACCTGGTCGCATTTCGTTCTAAACAAACAAAAATTGTTTTCGTGAATGAAGAAACATGTCAAAATCATATAAATGAAACTTTCATTGATAAATGAATAAAATTTTTTTAAACAGACCTTGATCATCGCTGTCGCCAAAGAACTATATGCGGTATATTGCATATGTTTGCCCCCACAAAAGTCAAATTTTGAAAACTTCCTGAAATGTGCTGAATTCAATAAATTGTACGAGAAATATAAGTTAACAGAAAATATTATAGTTCCAGAGCAGTGTATTCTCAATTTCTGTTTTTATGACGTCACAAACTAGTCCGATTTTATATCCTTTTTCAGAAAGAGGACAAAATGGACAAAATTTCAACAATTTAAGCTTTAAAATTTATAGAGCGCATGTGTGTTCAGGAACAATATTGACATATTTCATTGATATTATCATTCTACACATTATATCAAAATATTTATCCTGAACACACATGCGCTCGGTGACTTTTATTTAAAATATCGACGAAATATGTACATTTTTCTGCAAAATTCATAAAAAACTGAAATTTACGTCATATTTGTGACGTCATTACGGACATATGACGTCATTACTTATGAAATTATTCAGTGCTTTGAAGTCAGCATATACTCCCCTGTTTAAGGACTTAATTAAATATTACTCCATCAAAGTTTGATTTTGGGGGGCAAATGTTGGTTAATACCGCATATAGTTCTTTCACCTAACCTACCGTAACAGTGTTTGAATATTTTTTACAATAATCTTTGTATTTAAAAGCAATCATTTCTATTGATTTTTGAAGAGTGCAATGGATCCACGCTGTGACGCTGATATTCGTTTTTTTTAGCATTATAAAATCAGATTCTTCTGAACAAGCATTTTCTGAATGATCAAATCATTGGTATGGATTTAAAGAAGAGAAAGAAGTGTCGGTCTGTAAAAACAAATACAACCTTAGAATGAAACAAAGCTTTAGCATGTATAGATGTCTATATTCCTGTATATTCACAACCTTTCCTTTGATCACATATAGTTAGAATTTATAAAAGAAAATGATTATTTACAACAAATATTTGATTTATTTGCGCAAAAAATAATTCTGAGTTGTTTTCCTGACACCAGTGCTTCTTAAAATCACCTAAGATATGTCTTAAGACAAGCTCTTGGTCGTACTAAAGTTAGGACTGGGATTAAGAACTCTCCTAAGATAGGATAGCTTCGATGGCTAAGACTAAGATGTGTCGTAAGTTCGTCCTAAGATATGTCTTAGTCCTAAGACAGCTTCATAAGCATGCCTGCAGAACTCTATGAGAAGAAGCGGTTTGAAAGTATTCCGTAGATATTTCTATTTCAAGTAACCATTGCAACAATATTAACATTCGGTGAAACCACAATCTGATGAATAGAGTTGTTTATCTTCATGTAATTTACTTATGTGCCGATCGATTTATATTGGATCAGACCAAAACTGTAGAACTGGCGTTTTGATATTGATATTTTAAGAAGTTAAAGCAAGTTCATACATACCGGTAGATTCTTCAACTGCAGAATACAAGTTGGTGTTTGTGATAATGTGAGATGTCCAGCAAAGGTTCTTACTACCACTGCTTGTGTCTTAAAAAAACTCACCAGTGGCAGATTTAAGGGGGGGGGGGGCGCCGGGTCAAAGCTAACGTAAATCACAGTTTTGTCTAGAAAGTGTAAATATGTCTACTTGGTAGACCTCATTTTTACCCTACGAAATCTCTAGAACCCAGGAGCTTCCGGGGGCTTCGCCCCCTGGGCGCCCATCAGGACTTTGCCCTGGACCCACTCAAGGCGGCCCCCAGACCCCTTGCCTACTTTTGGCGCCCCCTTTAACTTTAATTCCTGGATCCGCGCTTGCGTCGGTTCTTTAAACTTTAGTAGTTTTTGAAGGAATATCTATTTTTGGTAACCATGGCAACACTGCTCATCAAAATCCACAACCGATGCACTAAATTATGTAACTGGGTATAGTCTATTTTATGACAATTTAAAATTAAATCAGATTGAACAAGATGTGTTTGTGAAACATTATGCGCCCGGCAACAACAAAGTTAGAAAAACATTTTTTTAGCATATAGGTCACAATCAAGGTCACAAGGTCATTGATCTTGGTGTCATTTGAACGAACTTGATTAGTGAAGTATGCATACCAAATATGAAGTCTGTATCTCTCATGGTTCAAAAGTTATGGCGAAGGTTCAAAAAAGCTATTTTAAACATTTAGGACACAAGCAAGGTAACAAGGTCATTGACCTTGGTGTCTTGTGAAAGGGCTTAATTAGTGAAGTATTCAAGCCAAATATTAAGTATCTATCTTTCTTTGTTCAAAAGTTATGGCGTAGGACAAAGTTTGCTGACAAAAAACCTATAATATTTAGCGCATAGGTCTCAGTCAAGGTCACAAGGTCATTGACCATGGTTTCATTTAAAAGAGCTTAGCCAGTGGTGCACGCATACCAAATATAAAGTCTCTACCTTTTATGGTTCAAAAGTTATAACGAAGGTTAAAGTTTGGAGAAAAAAATATTTTTTGCATATAGGTCACAGTCAAGGTCACAAGGTCATTGACCTTGGTGTCAGTTGAAAGAGCTTAATTAGTGGAGTATGCATACCAAATATGAAGTCTCAACCTTTCATGGTTCAAAAGTTATGACGAAGGTTAAAGTTTGCAGACAAACAGATAAACAGCTAAACAAACAGACAGGCAGACAGACAGACAGGACAAAAACAATATACGCCTGGGATCTTTCGATCCGGGTGCATAAAAAGTATGATAAGTAGTACTTTGTAGAAATTTGACAGACTTCCTACATTTAGTAACCAAGTACTAAGTATCTTAATATAGTCTACTTGTTTGTCAACTTAGAATTAAATCAGAAAGAAACAAGATGTGTTTGTGAAACACTATGCGCCCGGCGGCAACAAAGTTCTAAAAACCAATTTTTAGCAAATAGGTCACATTCAAGGTCACAAGGTCATTGACCTTGGTGTCAGTTGAAAGTGCTAAATTAGTGGAGTAAGCATACTCTATCTCTCATGTGTCAAGAGTTATGGCGAAAGTTCGAGAAAGCTATTTTTAGTGTATAGGTCACAGTCAAGGTCACAAGGTCATTGACCTTGGTGTCAGTTGAAAGTGCTTAATTAGTGGAGTATGCTTACCAAATATGAAGTCTCTGTCTCTCATGGTTCAGAAGATATGGCGAAGGTTAAAGTTGACAACAGACAGACAAACAGATAAAAGACAAACAGACAGACAAACAGATAAACAGACAAATAGACAGACAGGACAAAAACAATATACGCCCCGAATAAATTCGGGCGCATAAATATATGATGAGTAGCATATTGTAGTAATTTAAGAGGAATTTCTATTTCTAGTAATTACAGCAACATCATTCATCAGATCATGAATAGCATAAATGCAGTTAAACATTTCAAAAAAGCAGTACTTTTAGTGTTGCACTTATAAATTGTATTATTGTCATCTTCAATTAAATTCTAGTGTATACTAGTATTTATTTACATGTACTTGTTGCTACATGTACATGTATCAGTAATTCATCGAAGGAGCAAGTTTAATTATTGCACAAATCAAAATCAGCAAATGAATTACATGCAATGATGTAAACATTTAATAATGGTTCAAAATTGAAAATATCCTCATTTCTTAAAGAAATCTGTACATATCAATTGCATTGATGACTTTTTTTTTTCAAATAATCAGATATCTTTTCATGATTTGATTATTTTTCTTGTGTGTGTATATGCTTCATCTCATATAATTACATATATTTTATAATGTTTGCTTGCTTTTTATTATAAACTCTCGGAAGAGGTAAAAAACTACAATGAACAAAACAAAAACGAAATATTACTATGAGTTACAAACACAAATTCTACACAAGTTACTTTAAGACAATGGACAATAATGGCGGGAAAATATTGTAGCTGTAGATTGTTTACATTACATTCCGATCATAAAAATAGCCTAATAAGTGAAATTGCTTACTTTACAGTTCAAAATAAGTAAATAAACATATATCTTTATCATTTATAATACATATGAAACTTACTCTGTAGTGGATCAAGCTTAACTATAAGAAAAATTGCTTGCAGTGTGCTGCACTTGCAGCCATGTGTTTACATACTTTTAAATTAACTCGTACATAAAATCCTAGACAGTAATAGACAGTTCGTACATAAAATGGTTCCACTACATTCCCCGCTTGATTTCTACTGGAAATCATATATGAACAAAATGAAACACAACATCTTGATATATGAAAACACCTAGCATTTACACACTAAACAAGTAAATCAACTCTGATACAGGTCTTGTATACAGCACTGGTTTCTCATGTTTAATAACACGTAGTGACACTTTTCGAATTCGTCCGTCCTCACTTTCAAAACACTGTTGTACGACACCAAGCGGCCACTGTATTCTGGGGGCGTCTGTGTCCTTCATCAGTACAACGTCACCTTCTTTGAGACTTGGTCGTTCACTGTTCCATTTCTGACGCGCTTGTAGTGTGGTCAGGTATCTTTCTTTCCATTGTGTCCAGAACTGATCGGCCAAGACTTGTACTTGACGCCATTGTGACTTGATCATATCTTTCACTCCAAAATGCTGAAATGGCTCAACGCGCTGACCTGTCTTTTGTGTTAAGATCGTTGCTGGTGATAAAACTGTTGGAGAATCTAGATCAGTGGACACCGCAGCAAGAGGTCGTGAATTCAGGATTGCACATACCTCGGCCATGAGGGTGCACAAGATCTCATGTGTAAGGCGAGGGACGTGGCACAGCATGGAATCAAGGATGCGGCGTGCGATTCCTATCATACGTTCCCAAGCACCGGCCATGTGTGATGAATGGATTGGGGTGCGTTAAACTTCCATACAGTTCCGCTGTTAAACAAGAAACTGTGTGCTGGTCCATCTTCAACATTGATGACATCTATCTTTAAATCATCCGTCGCTCTTACAAAGTTAGTTCCCCTGTCCGATCTGAACTCAACAACTGGTCCCCTGAGAGATACGAATCTGCGCAGTGCATTAATAAAAGAAGAAGAGCTTAGTTCTTCAATCACTTCAATATGGGCTCCACGTGTAACGAGACATGAGAACATGACTGCCCAGCGTTTCGAATTTGCACTGCCTCCCCTTGTCTTTCTGGTTACTATGGTCCATGGTCCAAATACGTCCACCCCTACATAGCTAAATGGTGGACTCGGTGTTAGGCGTTCTGTAGGTAGATCAGACATCTTCTGGTACTCTGTTTTACCTCGAAGTTTGCGACATGGTACACAACTGTGGAGCATAGAGCAGATTAAACGCTTGCCACCTGTGTGTCCAATAACCAGCTCGACGAATAAAATCCCTCTGTCAGGTGTCGACCCTGGTGATAAATAGACTCGTGGTAGTGTCTAACCAGTAATGTGGCAATGTAATGTTTGCCTGGTATAAGAATAGGTGTCTTCTCTCCAGTAGGGAGGTTGGCTCTTCTCAGACGCCCACCGACTCGCAATAGTCCTCCCTCGTCCAGGATGGGAGAAAGAGGTAAGATACTACTATTCTTTGGTAATGGCTGGTTGCTGTATAAACAATTCAACTCCTTGGAATAAAATTCCTGCTGAATGGTTTTCAGAATGAATCGCTCTGCTTCTTTGTAAAGGGTGAGAGGATCTTTCGGAGAACTTCGTTTACTGAACCTTGCTGCCAGTTTATTTATGTTGGCTAGGGCTTTCACTAGAGAATGCCATGATGATAATCTGGTGAAGCGTTCTGAACCAATGCCCTCCATTTCTGTCACTTCTGTTTTGAATGAGCTTAACTTGAGTTCTTATATCCTCATCTGGATTGTATATAGAAATGAAAGAACCTTGACCTTTGAACTGTAGTAAAGGAGGTCCCTTTAGCCACATACTGTTTTCTATTTTGTGAGCTTCTTGGTACCAAGTTGCCTGGTCCGCTGGATTGTTTTCTGTTGCTACGAAGTTCCACTGACTAGGGGGAGTAGTTCGTCTAATTCGGTCCACTCTATTGGCCACGTAGACATGAAATCGACGACTTTCGTTGAAGATGTAGCCTAGGACTACTTTGCTGTCCGTGTAGAAATAACATGATTCTTTGGGTATGTTAAGGTGGTCGGCTACAAATTCCGCAATCTCAACTCCGAGTACTGCCGCGCACAGTTCTAATCGTGGAATAGTGTGACTGTGGTGTGGTGCTAATTTCGACTTGCCCATCACAAAACCATGATCTGACTCTCCATGTCTATTGTACAACTTGACATACGTTGCTACTCCTATGGCCTCTTTGGATGCATCACAGAAAGTGTGTAGCTCCCTTCGGCATGCATGCTGAATGTTGGCATATATTCTGGGAATCTTAAGTGACTCTAGATGTGATAATGACATTCTCCAGTTCTCCCATTCTGTGTGCAGGCTGTCTGGTAGAGGCTCGTCCCAATCCACTGTGCTGTTCATGGCCTTTTTTAACACCAGTCTGCCCCCTAGTATTACAGGCGCGATGAACCCTAAGGGGTCATATATACTATTAACTGTAGATAGTATGCCTCTCCTTGTGAATGGTTTCACGTCTTCAAGCAACTGGTAAGTAAATGCATCTTGTTTGATGTCCCATAATAGGCCAAGACTTCTTACGGGGTCGCCGAAGTCCATGTTAAGTACATCTTCTGATAAGTCCTCAGTCGGGAAACTCTTCAACACTTCACTGCTGTTTGACCTGATTTTATGCAGTCTTATATTTCCATTCTGTTTCAACACATCCTGAGTCTTTTTCATGATTTCTATGGCTGACTCTGCATCGGGTAAGGATACTAAGGCATCATCAACATAAAAATGTTTGTTTACAAGTTCACACACTTGATTGCACAATTCTGATGAATGATGATTACAGGGGGATTTTCTCAATCCAAACGTGGCAACTGCAGGGGATGGTGAATTGCCAAACACGTGGACGCACATTCTGAATTCCACGAGTTCATTGTTAATGTCATTGTCTCGAAACCACAAGAAACGCAAAAAGTTCCTATCTTCCTCATGTACAAAGAAGTTGAAAAACATCTGCGCGATGTCAGCCATCACCGCGACCTTTTCCTTCCTGAACTTCAGGAGCACACCAATCAAACTGTTAGTCAAATCAGAGCCGGTCATCAAAACATCATTCAGCGACACACCTTGACACTTTGCTGACGAGTCAAACACAACTCTTATCTTGCTTTTCTTAGGGTGAAATACACCAAATATGGGTAAGTACCACTTTTCTTTATTAGTTTTCAATGGCAGGGCTGGCTCAGCGTGTCCATTTTGGAAAATCTTCTCCATGAATGCGCAAAACTGTTTCTCTTTGTCTGGGTTCATTCTTAAGTTTGTTCTTAACTTCTTGGCCCGTTGCAGTGCTTGTTCATAGTTGTCAGGCAATACTTGTCATTTCGACTTGAACGGCAAGGGTGCACTTCAGCTTCCATTTTGAGTTTTCCTAAAGCCACTGTTCATGACACTAAGGAACTCCTTATCTTCAATCGAGAAACCAATTTTGTCATCACTGCTGGTCTGTAGGAAAACGTTCTCTCCAAATTCAAAATCTGACGTTGGTCTGGTGTCAGTTCTCAGCTTAAAATCATTTGGGCATGGCTGAAGTATTGACGGACGTCCATTACTCAAGACGTGAACTTTGTTGGTTGTGATTGTCTCAGGTCTGTGGGCAGCTCCTAAACATGTCTCACCTATGACGACCCAACCAAACCTCAGTTTCTGAGCGTACGGTGCGTAATTGTGTCCAATTCTCTGGTCCAACACATGATGAGCTGCTATCATGTCTCTACCAATAAGCAAAAGAATAGGTGCGTCTTGATCGTATGGCGGAATTTCATCAGCTAAATCCCTGAGGTGTTCGTGGTATCTTGCGACTTCTGGTGTAGGGATTTCCTCTCGCATGTTGGGAATCTGGTTGCACTCTATAAGAGTTGGCAATGATAGTCTTGTGCTGCCATCAAGAGACTCGATTATGTCCCCTGAGGTCTGTCGGCCAGTTGTGGATATGCAGCCTGAACATGATGATAAAACGTACTCAATCTCCTGAGCATTCTCGTTGAAGTAGTCAAAAAACTCTGACCTTGCGAGTGACCTGTTGCTTTGGTCATCAATAAGAACATAGGCTTTCAAGCTTTCATAGGCTTTCAAGCTTCGTTCTGGATAGTGTTCATGATATATATTCACTAGGACTGTCTTTGCACAGGACTTTCCTTTGAATCCTTCACGTCCACAAACCTGGGTGCAGCTTGCTCTCACATTTGGATTAGTTGCATCATTAGTTGTTCTGCGTGGCTCTTCCCCATGATACATGTTCTTGACATTCACGGGCAGAATGCTTGCCATTGCAGCATTTGAAACACAGGCCATTCTGTCTAATGAGGGATTTCTTTTCAGCGATTGGTTTACTGTTGAATGTTCTGCAGTCACTAAGCAGGTGTTTATCTGTTTCATGTAACGGACACTTGTTAGGCTTCTTTGGTGTTAGCTTTGTCTTAATGGTGGTAATATTGCCCCTCACTGGTGTAAACTTGTCTCTGTTTTCAAATGAAGGTGAAGTTCCCTTGTCAAATGCAAAGCTTGGATCGTTCATTCTAATGCTCATCTCCTTCAAGAACTTCGTGAAAACAGCAAAAGGTGGGTAGAGAACATCGTGTTCTATCTTATGCTTCAGTGCCCTGTCAGTCCACTTTGACTGCAGAAATCCGGGCAATTTGGACACAAAGGAATTTACGCCAAAGGACGAGTCGTAATATGCCAGTAGGGTTTTGTATTTAGGATTTTCCTTGACCGATTCCACTTCAGAGGCTATGTCAGATAGTTCATACATCTTTTTGGCATCCTTTGTAGTTATTCTGGGAAACTTTGCTATCTTTTCCTGCAGTATTGCTTCTACCAATTCTGGGGAGCCATAGCGCTCATCAAGCCTCTCCCAGATTCTGGTGAGTCCTTTCAATGGGTCACTCGGGTGTGATGCGCGAAGTCGCATAGCATGTTGCTTCGAATCTGGTCCAAGGAACTTTACAAGAAGATCCAACTCTTCCATAGGGGTAACACTTAAGTCTTTCATAATGATGGAAAAACTGCCTTTCCACATGAGGTAGTTTTCAGGTCTGTCGTTGAAGGCGGACAGTCTTGATAAGAGAAGTTCTTTTTTGACAAGAAACTTTGTAAGTTCTGTGCCGACCCACGGAGAATTGTTGTTACAATCAGGTTCACATTGCATAACACTATGCTCCTTTGGTGGGGTGTTTCTTTCGTACGCATGATTTTCCATTGGCGATTCGTAGTCTCTTCTTGTGTATGAACTATGTAATTTTGGCACGATTGGTGATTCATAATCTTGTGTATGTCTGTCAGTATTGCATTTTTCATAGTGTTCATTAATTTGAGGGTTTGTAGTTTCCCTAATCACAGGATCTTGTTCTTGAACACATAAGTCTCTATATGAAGGTTGCCTGTATTTGTCTGACATGAATGTAAAGGTTTCATGTTTGTATTTATCAAAGGGATTTGGGGGTCTTTCACTTGTAGCTCGTTCATGGTTGGATAATTCAGATCGCATACTGCTTTGCTCCACCACGTAGTCTCGGGTTCTCTTGCGCTTTTCACTTGTCAATGTACGTACACTATGCTCGGAACGATTTGACTTGATGCTCATTTCCTCCATGAGAGCGTCCAACTCTGCTTCTACCTCTTCAGCCTCTTGTTGTATTTTAATAAGATTTAAACTAGTTTCCAAATCTTCCTTTTTCCTTGCTGATCTTGAAGCTGCGATTGCCTCGTCTTCTTCTATTTGTGTCTTTTCTTTAATTAATTTTGCTGTAAGTTCTGCATACTTAGCCTTTGTTTTTGTTGCTTCGTATCTAGCCTTGACTTTGCTGAGATGTGAAGAACTTGCCGACTCTTCTGTAACACTTGCGGGTTCTTGTTTGACTGAAAAATGATCTGTCTCTTTATCTGACTGTGTAGAATCTTCACTAGATAGTCGTTGTCCGTTTTCCACTTTAACGTCACTTTGATCGAAATGTTCAAGTTCCTTTATGAACAGTTCTGCCTTGCTCATGACTGATCTGTTAACCATAGCATGCGCTGAAAGCTCATACTCACTCTCTTTTGTCCTTGTTTCTTGTAAGTAAACCACAAACTTTTCAGACAAGTCCCCATATTTTCCAAGTGTTTGGGTCACCCTACATTTCACAAACTCTGCATCCTCTTTTAGGGGAAATTCACTAAATGCCAGAATTTGTTCTTCTACACCTTTCCTGAGAACACGTAATTGTTCTGTATATTCACTCACTTTCTTTTCGTACTGTACTTTTGCTCGCTCGGTGAGATCTCAGGTCCATGATTCGATCCATGTGATGATTAGAGATTTTTTACTATAATGTTTGCTTGCTTTTTATTATAAACTCTCGGAAGAGGTAAAAAACTACAATGAACAAAACAAAAACGAAATATTACTATGAGTTACAAACACAAATTCTACACAAGTTACTTTAAGACAATGGACAATAATGGCGGGAAAATATTGTAGCTGTAGATTGTTTACATTACATTCCGATCATAAAAATAGCCTAATAAGTGAAATTGCTTACTTTACAGTTCAAAATAAGTAAATAAATATATATCTTTATCATTTATAATACATATGAAACTTACTCTGTAGTGGATCAAGCTTAACTATAAGAAAAATTGCTTGCAGTGTGCTGCACTTGCAGCCATGTGTTTACATACTTTTAAATTAACTCGTACATAAAATCCTAGACAGTAATAGACAGTTCGTACATAAAATGGTTCCACTACATATTTAGTTCATTTCAAATAATGACAAAATTTCAACATAATATTTTTTTGCTTTTATTACAATTTGCCTAACAATATCATAATAGGTCATGATTAGTATTAGTAACTAAATAATGGATATTTATTAGGATCAATTTTAAATTACTGCAGATAAACTTTTAGACTGTTTATAGTTTCAGGTGACATCTGAATTCTGATTACTCTTTTCTCTAAATAGATTCAGTTCTAACAACTTCCTTTACAAAGGCGGATCCAGGGCCGGCGCGCCAGGCGTGTGCCCCTCCAACCCCAACCCCAACTCACCACCCACCTTTGAATTTTTTTGTATGTAAAAATTATATTTCCGATGTCCATTATCATAAAATCAAGGAAAAAACATCTCTAATTTGTAAGTTGTAAGCTGACATCCAAAGAACACCTTCCGTTAGACCCACTAGGGGCTTCTGTTGCGCCCCGTTACGACTTTTCTGGATCCACCACTGCTTTAATATGTCCCAATGATAGGCATACATGTATGTTTTGATAATTTAATTGCAACCTATTACTGACTTCCAGGTATGTTGAAAATAAAAATTAAGCATTTAATTTAGTTTAACTTAACATAAATTTAGTAGTCCTATGCCTATATTGGAAACAAAAAGAAATCTTCTTGACTAAGTCACACAAATCAAGTAAATGAAGAAAATTAAAAAAAAACTTTACAAATAGATAATTATTTTAAAATCACCACAAAATAAAGACATATCCTAATCAATTATCGTAAATTATAATTTATGAGCAGAAATACAAAAAAATATTTGATAATTGGAAAAGAAACTGAATGGCTGAAGAGTTCCATTAAAACAATTTTTTATAGCTAAATGAATTAGAAAATGTTTCACAGATTTTTCAAAAAGATATATTATAAATGATATTTTATAAAGAGACTGTCCATACAGACTTAATTTTGTGTTCTTAATTTCCATAAGCTTGACAGAAATACCAGTTGTACAAAGTCATAATTTCCTAGATTGTTCGGTATACTTATTTAAATGTTATAATATAGCATGGATAGGCTTGAATGTCATTAAAGATAATAAACATCCCAGGACTCTGCACTCTATCCACAACCGAATCATACAGGATATGGGACTGCTGGCCAGCTCTGCTTGGGGGAACTCTCAGTCCTGTTCGTCCTTGTGTAAATTCACCGGTCAGAACTTTACAAAGATACATTCTCTTGTTACCACTTGGATCTGGTCTGGAATAAGTATTAGAAGCTGAGTAGCCGGCACTGACAGCAAAGTAAACTCCCTCTCCAAAAGCTATAGCTGTGGATTGAAAAACAAATGCCATGTTAAATGTAATGTCTTTACCAACATCATACATGTAACTGTTTTTTTTAATTTCGATTAAGTGCCAATAAATTATTGAATTGATAAATTCATAAAAACAAGAGGTCCATGGGCCACATCGCTCACCAGAGCACTAAGGGTAGGAAAAAGTAGAAAATGGCTTTTTATTGTAAAGTTTAAATCCAAAAGTAGTCCCATGACCAATCATAGATTTGCTATTTTTTAGAAAATGATTTTTAAAGAATTTCCCTATATATATCTTTAAAAACTTTGGTCGGCCATTTTGGCCCCGCCCTACCCCTGGGGGTCATGATTTGAACAAATTTGAATCTACACTACTTGAGCATGCTTCCATATAAATATGATGAATTATGGCTTTGTCATTCTTGATAAGAAGATTTTTAAAGAATTTTCCTATATATTTCTATGTAAAACTTTGGTCGGCCATTTTGGCCCCGCCCTACCCCCGGGGGTCATGATTTGAACAAACTTGAATCTACACTACCTGAGCATGCTTCCATATATATATGATGAATTATGGCTTTGTCATTCTTGAGAAGATTTTTAAAGAATTTTCCTATATATTTCTATGTAAAACTTTGGTCGGCCATTTTGGCCCCGCTCTACCCCCGGGGGTCATGATTTGAACAAACTTGAATCTACACTACCTGAACATGCTTCCATATAAATATGATGAATTATGGCTTTGTCATTCTTGATAAGATTTTTAAAGAATTTTCCTATATATTTCTATGTAAAACTTTGGTCGGCCATTTTGGCCCCGCCCTACCCCGGGGGGTCATGATTTGAACAAACTTGAATCAACACTACCTGAGCATGCTTCCATATAAATATGATGAATTATGGCTTTGTCATTCTTGATAAGATTTTTAAAGAATTTTCCTATATATTTCTATGTAAAACTTTGGTCGGCCATTTTGGCCCCGCCCTACCCCCGGGGGTCATGATTTGAACAAACTTGAATCTACACTACCCGAGGATGTTTCCCCATAAGTTTCATCTTTCCTGGCACAGTGGTTCTTGAGAAGAAGATTTTTAAAATAAGCCACTAAATTTTCATTAATTCCCAATTATCTCCCCTTGAATGAGGGCGTTGCCCTTCATTTGAACAAACTTGAATTTCCTTCACCCAAGGACACTTTGTGGCAAGTTTGGTTGAAATTGGCCCAGCGGTTCTTGAGAAGAAGTCGAAAATGTGAAAAGTTTACAGACAGACAGACGGACAGACGGACAGATAGACGGACGGACGGACGGACGGACGCCGGACAAAATGTGATCAGAAAAGCTCACTTGAGCCTTCGGCTCAGGTGAGCTAAAAACACACAAAATACACCAAATTTGAATAACATCATCTCTAAAGAGTTTTAATGTAAAATGTATTATATTTCGTGCAACACAATTTATGAACGTTTTTTTTTTTTACAAACTATGAATTGAGACCTTCTTACCAAAAATTGATAAGGGTCCCATTTTAGATACATGTAAAGGCAGTACAACAGAGAATTTGGAAACCACTTCATACCATACAAGAAACTGTGACTTTGACCTATGACCCCTGGCCTTAAAATTTACAAGGGTCTATCTCGAATTTGAAAAAAAGTCACAATCTAAAGTTCGATAGTGAAATCTCAAGAGAACTTATGTTATCATCTAAAAGTATTTTATTTAATAAATGAACTTTTGACCTTAGTCTTTACCTCAAATCTATTATATATGAGTTTTCTTAAAGTGGTAAGCAATAATTGATGTATAAATCAAAAGCTACAGGATTTTAGACATCAACTGGGCATTAAACAAACATGAACAAATAGACAGAGAGACTCAAATACACTTTTGGGAAAAGTTCTTTGAAAAAAGTATGTACATTTTTTTCATTCTTCAAAGATAGAAGGTTTGGTTCAAAGTTTTTGCTTTGGTTAAAAGTGTTTTAAGCAATTTTTACCATTCTTCCCACAGTAGCTCCTGTTGAAGCCTAAGGAGTTGATACTGTTGACTGCCCCTGGGGCAGTTCCATGCCAGAGTTCTCTTTCATTCTGTGTACCAGAGGGGTTCTGAGTATCCAACAACTTCTTTTTGGCCACATATTGCTGGTACAGCATCTTGTTCTGTATTCTTTCCAACTAAATATTTAAAAAAAAATTATGTCTGTGTGTTCTATAAAATAAATTTTATAGCTTCATAAACATCACAGTACTGTTTAAAAAGGTTTTTTTAATTTGATTTGCGGTGCTATTAAATTTCTTTAGGGAATTGGGAGGAGGGTTCCAAAATGTCTTTGAGTGGAAATATTTTCAATTTTTGACATTTACTTCCTTGCAACTATTATAATATCCATTTATCAAATCAACACCTTTACATGCCATAGGGAGTGGGGCGTGGAGGGGGTGCATACACAAGTTACTGCTCTTCACAATTGTAAATGTTAGACAATAAGGCACTACTCTCACCCAAGTCAGTATGTCATTGCTTTTCTATATCAACAAAACTTTTCCATATATGTATCTTTAAGCCTTTCCTTTGTAAAAATTAATCACAAACTGCAGTTTTAACCTACCTCCAGGGGGTTATGATTTGAACTTCAAATTACACTACCCGGGGATGCTTCCATAAAAAAATGACAGATCATGGTTTTGCTAATCAAGAAACTTTGTTGTTCCTGAGAGAGAGATTCTTATTTTTTTTCCAATGTAAAACTTCGGTCATTCATATGGTTAGTGCAAATTTCAACTGCCAGCGTGTTTAAGAATTAGTAAAAAATTGAGGTAAGTTATTGACAAACACGTTGGTGAAACAACAATATCAGAAGCCTTGTTTAAAAAATATCATTTCGTAAGTTCTATCACTATGGTTCCTACAATGACCTTGTCAGCAAATATAGTGTATCATTCAGTCAAATGCTTACTGATGTTTTTCGTAATAATTCATCAGTCATTATGTCTATGGATTTTTTCATTATTTCCAGATCATGACAAGGAACAGGCTGCAGGTGTGATCGGTTAGGACAGGATGCTCAATTCTCTATGGCACCTGATGTTTTCGAGGTCTGTGTTTGATCTGTTCCCGTTTTGTATTGTTTAATGGACTTTTGAGCTTGAATACTACTCATTATCTCCATATATTTCACCTAAATACTACTCTAATGTAGATTGGCATGGTTCCCCCTTAAACTACTTACTTTGAAAATCTTCCTGTATCCTACGTCTTGCTGGAATCTATCGATAACACGAATGTACTCTGGTGAACCATTCTGTACCATGACTACAACCAAGTTCTCCGAGTCCTTCATTAGTGACCATTCTGGTGGAGGTTCAAAAGTTGAATCTAGAGAGAATTGAAAATTAAATCCTTATTTAATTGTTTTGTTTCCCTTTCTAGCAAGTTATGAATTGAAAAAAAAACAAAACAGATTCAATTTCGACAATATTCAATATAATTACAATGTGTTACAATATAGTGTAATTTATAGTTTAAAAAACAAAATTAAAATCATGATAAAACATCACAGTATTTTTGTTGTACCAAGGTAATATTTAGGACAGTGAAGTTGAGAAAAGTATCAAAGAAGGTGATGAATATAAAAAGATTTTCTAAGAATCCCAGATTTGTATAAAAAGAGGTGATGAATATAAAAAAAGATTTACTTTTTAAGAATCCCAGATTCCGGCTGAACAAAATCAAAAACACTCATTCTTACTATATAAACAGAAATTATAGTTGTATGCATTCCTAGATACACCTATAAATCTGGTTCAAAGTGACAATTTTTTTTCAAAAACTAATTAATAAATTATTGGTCATATACAACATCCAAAGAATGATTGGTTGTAAGTATCGATCCTCAACGCACTTTTTAAGCCTACATGGTTTTTCGCACAAATTAAGGTCACATTTTTGCAATAGATAATACTATTTTGGAACCTCAATACGATGACAAAGACCAACGTTATATTACAAATATAATGTCAAGTATACATGTCCCTAAAAATTATTATCCTAAGTCTCCAAAATAGATGTTTTAGAGGAGAATTTATCAACAATAAATGGCACAATGTTTCTACTACTGTATAGGCTTATACCGTAGGATTTTTATTATAAATCATATAAAATGTGCTTTCTTTGAAAGGGTCAATGTAGCTGGAAATTTTAAATTTTCTTCTTAAAGATGAATGTCTTTTTTTAAGTTCTTTGTTCATGTACCATTCTCCTCTTGGTTTTGTCGAAATGTAGCACCGAAAAGGGATAACACTGCAGAAAGAAACCATACTAAAGGGTAAGATAATGAAGTATTGTTTATTTTTTTAAATAGTAAATTCTTTCTATGAAAAGGAAATTTTATCTACATTAACGGTTTGAAACTTTAAAATTTTGCTGTGGGATGAATCTTTCTTGATTCTAAATTTTGGAAAGTGACTCTGAAAAATGACACCCTATAAACATACAAAGAAATCAAACAGATGAAAGATACTACTATCAACATGCGCTAAAGAGTTAGAATGTACAGAAAATTCAAGTTACAGAAGTGTACTTTGCCCGTGTCTATGTTTTTGCAAAGAGCTACTGCATACAAAAGAACAGATAAAAAGAGGGCTGTAATTGGCAAGAAACCTTAAAAAATCAAATGGAAATGGTTGTTTTTATTAAGCCTAGAATATATCAAAGTTCTACCAATTCATTTGTGTGAATTATGTTTAAGTAAATGAAACAAAACTAAGATAATGTAAACAAATACTTTTAAATTATTTTGTTGTAAAAATACACAATATTACAATATAACAATGTGACCTTAATTTGTGCAAAAAACCATGTGAGCTTAAAAAGTGCGCTCAGTTGTATAGTGGACAGGTCAGCTAACTGGGGCAGGTTTAAAATTGCTGCAAGGGAACCGACTTGGCCTAAAATTTCTGAATATTATGTAATCTTAATAAAAATATATGTCGCAAAATATCTTTACACATAATCTCAAAAATGTGTCTAATTTAATGGGGGTTGTATTGCTTTCTAAATAAAAATGCTTTAAAACAAGAGGCCCAGGGGCCACAGCGCTCACCTGAGCACATCGGCTAGGAAATAGCACATATCAGATCAGAAGTGAAAGTTTACTGAGGTGGGGGGGGGGCTTGAATTTTACCCCCCCCCCAGGGGTTTATGATTTGAACAAACTAGAATCTACACTACCTAAGGATGATTCCATATAAATATCACTTAATCATGGCTTTGAAGTATTTGAAAAGAAGATTTTAAAAGGTATCCCTATGTAAAACTTGGGTCGGCCATTTTGGCCCCATCCTAGTCCCGGGGTCATAATTTGAACAAATTTGAATCTACACTACCTTAAGATGATTCCTCATGAGTTTCATCTTTCCTGGCTCAGTGGTTCTTGAGAAGAAGATTTTCAAAGATTTTTTTCTATATATTCCTATGTAAAACATTGATCGGCCATTTTGGCCCCACCCTAGCCCCGGGGGTCATGATTTGGACAAACTTGAATCTACACTACCTGAGGATAATTCCACATGAGTTTCATCTTTCCTGGCCCAGTGGTTCTTGAGAAGAAGATTTTTTTAAAAATGCCATTAATTTTTCTCAAATTCATAATTATCTCCCCTTGGAAAAGGGCGTGGCCCTTCATTTGAATAAACTTGAATCCCCTTAGCCCCGTGGGGACCCGGGTTAGAATTGGTCCTCAAACAGTATACAATCAATCAATCAATCATGAATCCCCTTTACCCAAGAATACTTTGTAGCAAGTTTGGTTGAAATTGACCAAGTGGTTCTTGAGAAGAAGTTGAAAATGTGAAAAGTTTACGACGACGACAACGAAAACGACTACGACAACGACAGACAACGGACAAATTTTGATCAGAAAAGCTCTTTTGAGCCTTCGGCTCAGGTGAGCTAAAAAAGTACACTGTACATGACATTAGATACTGATGCCAGATTTAAAACATGAGTTTTTCTCAACTTTGTTGAGTTGAAAGAAAAATAATTAAATTATATGATATGATGCAGCTATGATTTAGAATCACGTATTCTTACAAACGCATTGTTTAACGTCCCTCTCGAGAATTTTTTACTCATATGGAGGTTACAAACATAAACCGGAGTACACATCAAAAATGTTATACAATGGGTAGAAAATAGTAAAGTTAACAAGTGTAAATTGTAATTGAAATACCCTTGATTCTGTCTCTACGGGTCACAGTTATGACATCCGTTGGATCGCCGCTCGGGAATTCCTCCATGTTGTTGAAGTTGATTGTATACTCCGTCCCTGCTTGATCTGTAAACTTCACGTCCGGCTGTTTGTTATGGTAAGCTTTCTCCACCAGCTGACTAATCTGATTTGGGTATTCCACCAACTCATATTGGCCATGTAAGTTTTCAATAAAGTACCAGTGCACAATGTCGGACAAAAGTTCTGCTTCCAGTTGCGCTTGCTTCCTGCGATCAGCATCTCGAAGTAGACCATGGACTTGGCCAGAAGCTTCCAGTAATGCCTCATTTCTTCCATAAAGGGTGACAACGCCTTTCTCTTTATCAACTGCAACATCTATATTAAATTCTTCTTTCAAATTGTGAAGGGTATTAACCTGTGAAAGGAAAAAGTTAGTCTAATTACTGAAATATTTTTTTCAAAAGGCTTGTAATTGTTAAAAAAGGGAAAATTTCGCCCTCGTTTATTTTCGAACCTTTCGCCCTACCCTCATTTTGGCAAATTTAAAAGGGACGAATTTAAAGAATACAATATCATTTCTTAAACAAAACTATGACTGGGCGAGTTTTAAAAGGGGCTTATTTTTAACAAGTGTTAAGGGCGAAAGTAACCATGGGATGAAAATGAACATGTATACAGTATATTGTTGAACAGTACTCTTGAAATTTTCCTTCACTGCCGTTAATATCTATGTGAAGAGAAAGAAAGAGGCTTGGTAAAACATTTACTGGAACCCATCATTCTTCATAGATGAAGCAAAACATGTACTTACATGAATAACACCTCATAGAAATGATATAACGTAATCTAAATATGACATGGCATTATCTACAAACAATTTACCTGTCCTTGTGTAAGATGCCTTATTAATGGGTCAGAATAATATTTAGTGGTGAAATCCGCATCTAGCAGACTCTCTAATTTTTTTATTGCTGCATCAATATCTTTTTCGCTGTCAGCATAAACCACAATAAATGCAGAAGACTGATCCTCAGGCTTGTCAGCAAACACTGGTTTCCAACTTTCACGTCTATCTTGCTTTCCCCCTAAAATCCAGTTATATAATTTCCAATGTAAACCGACATCTATTTGCGATAAGAAATATTCAGAGATATCTGTTATTTGTAAATATTTCTCACCACTAACCAGTTTTATGTAGAATTTTACCTAAGTCACAGGAATTAGGAGTCGTAGATGCATGTGCATGTACAATATTTTTGCATATACATGATATATAAAAGAATAAGGTGAATTTTTTTTTGCCTTTTTTGGCCCTGTAAATTTTTGAAAAACTGAAACTGCTAAGTTTTAGTCAACAATGCGTTGAATATCACATAGATCTTTGGTGAATACGCATCTATCAAAAATGACGTAAATTTCTGGCTAGTCAATCCATTATGACGCCAAGAACTGCTTAAATTTCCTCATATTCTGAAAAAGTTAACAAAATTGGCAATTTTCAAGTTATTTTTCGATATTTAATATACAGCGCAACCTCTGATCGAAAATATGCAAGTAGTAAATGATTACCGGTAAACCGTTTCTGAGGATTATTCTTAGATCCGAGAGCGTGCTCATATTATTGTTTTTACTGAAAATTTGTACTCAAATATACCTGTTTACCTTCAAATTCAAGAACCTTGCAATTTCATAAAGCCAATTGTCCATGACCTGGACTTTTAGGAGAAAATTTAGATAGAAAATGAAATCACTAAGTCTCTATTTCATTTTAATGCTTCAAAAGGAACAACAGTGTTAATCAATCAAATGGTATATCTACAGGGACATTTTTTGCATAAGGTGAACAAGAAGAATGGGATTTGGCAGCAAGCAAGGCCTATTTTAGCCCACTCTCTTATACATGTACAATGCAAAAAAAGCAACAAGCAGTTATCAACAAATGTTTAATTTTTTATAATGATTCTTCAAAAAAATACAAAATAAAGTTTAACTAGTAATTAAGACTTAAAGTTGTTATTTTATGTCTTGGAACAAAGTACTTTTACATATATGTTTAATTCGAGTATTCATATGAAAATGATAACATACTAAAACGCAAAAAAAGCAACAAGCAGTTATCTACAAATGTTTGAATTTTTTTTCTAATGATTTTCAAAAAAAAAAATAAAGTATGTCTAAACCCACTTTTCAGATCATCAGATATTTGATATAAATGTTAAATGTTTATCTTTCAACTTTATTAAATAACATATGACTGCTAACACCCTCCACCCACCCCACAACCCCCGCCCGCCATTCAATTACAACATGCAAGACTGTCCTAAACAATAATTGCAGCTTAATTTTTACGATACAATAGGTTAATCAATATCAAAATCTGAGCGAAGGAATTATTTTTTGCCATTTTTAAATGCCTTTTTTCAGATGATAAAGTCGAATTCTCTCTAACTTAGAGCATTGTAGTAACCCTTGGACTTCCGGTCCAAGGACTATTATTTTTGCATATGAGACGTAAGACCCTATGGAGGCGTATTGTAGTGTATTTTTGCATCATCAACTCTCCGAGTTGTGGCTCATTGCACCCAGTTTATTTTAGATTTCATTACAGCACTACTTATTATGTAGATGTCAAACATCCAAATGGAGGTATTTATATCATAAATAATTTTTAGTGAATTTTGAATCTTTCTAATTTTATTTCAGGTTTATTATTACCAGAATTTCAGAACTGCTAGTGTCAAATGATGGACATATTGTTTAGCCAAGTACATACAATGAAAATATCTCATACTACCTAATATTAATTTTATAAGAAAAGATAGTTTTCTCCTAAAAGCCACTTATGACATTATCTTTTCAATCTATGCATAAAATATTACGAAAATGAGCTATGGAGAGACAAGGGATGTATTTCAATGGATTGCATGTGACAAATTGAATGAAGAATGTTTTAACTAAATGAAAATTCCAATTTAAAGAATATTTGGTATGAAAAGTCCACTTTCAAAAGTTATCTTTTCTAATTACACAAGACTCTAAACACTACGGAACGTTTGAACATTACATCTAAAATTAAGAACAACGCTTTAAAGGAGTATATATGATAAGAGCCAAGTTTGGCCCCCTAAAAATGAACATTTTGGAATGACATTCAGATATGTTTAATTGATATTTATTTTGTAGAAGAGATTATATTAGAAATATTTCCAATATATTTTTCACATTTATATGCACTCACTAGCTGTAAATATCATAAGAAATAATGCTATTTTTGCTATCTAACAAAAAAGCCAAAAATATGCCTTTTTCTTGATGTTTTTTCTTATGGAAAACAGAGAGCGCAGTGTAGAACATACATAATTTTTTTTAAACTAATTAGTATTGGATAGATACATCTTTCGCAAAATTATAAAGCTTGTTCTACGCTGCGCTCTATATTTTCTGGAAGAAAATCTACTTGAAAATAAGCAGTTTTATACAAAATATGCTAAAATGGCGGGAAAACGTGATTTTTATGATGTCATATTTCTAAAATAACGGCATTTTGATCAAAATGAAAATGACCAATAAAGGTCGCATATATATCTGTACAAATAAAAGCTATATATATAAAGTAAAATTTAGATATTCATTTTAAGGGGTCAATTGAGACACTTACCATATATCGCTCTTTCCAGAGTATATATTTAAATCAATAAAGCAAATATATTAATCAACACAAAGACATTAAATAGTGCAAGTGAATAATTTTTTTAATTGCAACAAGGTTGTAGATTTTAACTCGAATTTCCTCCATACAACATGTCATTGATTGACAGTGTTCTTTGATTCGTTATCACATTGCACATTACTTGTTTGGCGAAGATTCAGCCATTGTTTTCTTTTGTTTCTGCTTAAACGCAATCCTTCTTGGTTTATGCATAGTGAATCCGTTTCTGTGTTTTCACTGTATACATCATCGCATGTGTTGACATCATTTAAAGCGTTTTAAAGGTCAGGGTCATATTACAAAGGTACCTGTACAATTCGTCCCCAGAGAAAAACGTTCGATATAATGTGAGTCTATTTTATGTGTAGTACGTCATTAAATGGTGTAACGAGCCTCCTTAAGGCAATTTCAAGAAGCCTTGGCACCGAGGGCCCGAGGAGGGGATATTCAACACTATCGAGTTATTTATCTAATTAACTTTAAAAAAAATTCCCTACTTTGGGCCCCAAAATAACATTTATCCATTCAAATATCCAACTTTGCTGTAACACAATAGGACGTAGCCCATTTTAATATCCAACCGTGACACAAAACAATAGCCTAATCAAACATCCCTTTTATTCATGGACCAGTGAACATGAAACTGCAAATGAACATGGTGCTGATTTCATCCTTTTCATCATGACGTCATGATAATACGTAAGTCAGTTATTACGGGAAATTTGATTTTTTATACAAATAGTACAGGTATATAATGCGGGTAAAAGTATATTTCTTAAACGAAATATAATTATGTTGCATTTAAAACAGGTTTATGTGTGTTTATAAAATGGTTTTCTTTTAGTTTCACGTCCTTTTTCTGTAGCTTCTTCGGAATTTTTAGAAAGGAAAAACAGTAAAATGGGAGTTTTATTTTTTGCACAGTTTCTAATGTGTTCGCTTACGGCGGTACACTGGTATTTTGGTTCCCTAATTTGTTGTCGATGTACGGTCATTCTAGCGTTGAAGTTCATATACCTCATGAATCTTCAAAAATTAAATTTATTTCTTATATTTACATATTATTTCTGATGACTTGTCATAAATTTACGCAATTCAACTGTCATTTTTAAAGCAAAACAGTGTGCACTATATTTTTGACGCTAAGTATATATATATATATACTGTAGAAGTACTTTTTTTCCGCGTGGTATTAATTTACGCTAAGTACGCGGCCACAAATTTTCCGCGGAAATTTGTCCAAGCGTACTTAATGAAAATTAAAGGCATATAGTGACAGTATAGAAAATCCGCGTAATTTTCTGCCCGCGGATTAAACAGAAATTGAGATTCCGCGGAATTATGATCCCGTGGAAAAAAGTACGTCTACTGTATATATATATATATATATATATATATATATATATATATATATATATATATATATATATATATATATATATATATATATAAACTCACCTTTCTTGTCAATGGTTCCCGCTAATCCCCAATGATTCTTAACTCCTGCCTTAGTTCTGTGTTCTGCAATTTCACTATTTGAGGATTGTTTCTGTTCAGAACAAGAAAATCCTGTTGCATCTTTGTCACCTATCTGGATGTAACACTTGTGAAATTTTTGAACTCCGATGATCCTCTTTTTGCCAGCTTCACTTTGTATGTAGTTGGCAATGCCTGGTCTTTTTATTGTGTGTTTTTTGGAATGAATCTTTTTCAACATGTCCTTAATTCTTCCTTTGGCTTGATCCAGACCTATTTTAGTGCCCTTGATTGTGATTCTGTTTTTGCTTTGAGTTATTTGAACCTGCTGCTCTTTCAAATTTGCACCAATCTGCTCAAACTTCTTAGTTTGATGGAGCTCAAAAAATCTTAAATAACTTGGAGGTAAATCAATTGAATCATACATGATTGTATTGTCTCGGAGAAAGTCCTCTAAAAATTCTCTTGCCAGGCCAACATATTCTTTCAACGTTACAATTATAACTTTTTTTTGTTCAGGTAAGGTAATCAGTTGAAGAAATCCTTCAAAAATCTCTGCTATCTCTCTGATTTTCTTATCCCAGGCACCAGAGTTGAGTAAGAAAGCTGAGTCTGGCTGTACATCAATTGGGGACTCCACAATGCTGTCCTTTATCAGTTGTGCTGCCTCAACAGCTTTGTCATCTGAGAAAGCATAAATTATTATCTCCTCCCTTTGAAAATCAAAACAACTCATGTTCGTTTTTTCATTCAGCAGTTTTTCAATTCGAGCATTTACATCCCTTCTCCTTAAAAATTCTTGTCTGTTCTTTGAGAACCTTCCTGTAGAGGCTTGGCAGATTTTAAGACATTTTTCTAACAATAACATTTTTGCTTGGCTGACTTCCAAGTATTGACCTTCAAAGATGAAACTTTTGTCCATCGTGTTTATTCTAACCTTCAAATTTGGGAACTTTTTTTCTGTTTCCTTTTTGAAATGATCAGATATAAGAAGCAGATATTGGTGATGTTTCAACTGAACAGTTTCTATAACTTGTTGTTTTCTTCTCTGGATCTCATCAACCTCTGTTGCAATAATTTTCTCAACTTCATTTTTGACAACCTCTACTGTGTTATTATACCCCACAATAACTATGGTGTGATTGCCTTTCTCTATAAAAATGCCTACTTTCTGGGGATCTGGTAAATTCACTTGTTTTATTCCCTCCAAACATTTCTCCCAAGCCTCATGTAAAACAATAATAGGTTGCACATGCAGAGCCCCCAGCAACTTCTTAATACCGTCTGCCACTTGTTTCTTCCATTTTCCAGCCAACTTTTGACAGTTTTTTACATCCTTTGTTAGAGTGCACTCTACCGTTAGTTCTGTAGCTGCTCTTTTTTGCCATTTTATCCTGCTGTGTGACAGTTCTGCTTGCTTGTTCATAGCTTGTTGGAACTCATCAGAAGTGTACACAAACTTCATTTTTCTTAGGTCAAGTTCCCTCATAATTACTGGATCGAGGGGTTTGAAAGTTGGGCCCTCATTAGGGTTAAACGTCTGTCCTAGACACTTATGGTAAGTATGTACTGTTAACATCTGGTTGTCAACTTTGTGGCTTTTTCGGCATACTCTGTCACAAGCTTGAAAAATACAGATAAACAATTATAACAAATTCACTGATAGGGACTTCTTACATATAGTTATAAGGAAACTTTTGTTATTCTGAGAAACATTGACCCTTTACTGATGGAGATAACTTTCATTAGGATTAAAGGCGCATAAACACAGATTTGGAGTTAATATTTTCTCTAATTTTCTGTATCATATCATGACTTATATATTGCAATAGCATTTCACATAAAAATATATTAAAAATCTTATTTCATCTAAAAGTTATTGAAACTTTAAATTTTTAGACGACTTTGGTTGACACATCCTTGCATTTACACAAATTTAAATTTTGTTTTTAACACTTAAAAAAGTGGCAATCTTGTTGTGCATTAATGAAAAATATTGAAACTATAATCAAGAAAATTCAGAGTAGAAATGTTCGAAAGCAAAACATACACACAGTGTTTTTTTCTGTCTGTACAGTGTATGGTGAGCAGACTTAAACAATTGAACAAACCCGGTGAATCGTAAACCTTAACAATAACAGAGTTTTTCCCCTGTTTACAAAAACTGTGTACGTTTCAAGGGTGTGTACATTTGGTAAACTCTGTATACAATACAAAGAGCGGAATGACGATACTTGAGAAGGGGGTTCTGCTTTCAAATATTTCTACTCTTAATATAATTATTTTTCTGGATAAATTTTTTTGATATTTTCATTACAGGCAGAATTTTTTTACCGAGTGATAAATTCGTGTCAGAGAGGGGCTTATTTTGTACAAGTGTGAATGCCTTGGGGGCTAGCAGTCTACCTGTGGTCAACTGTCTCCTAATCCCTATACACAGGAAGTGATTTAATACACAGTCAAATACCCAGATGTCAAACTTTACCTGTGTTGGAAATTTTGAGACAATTTTAAACTAGTTGTAAAACGGTTTCTCAATCATATAATGAATTATTTTTGAATGTTTGAAAAGACCCCTACCGATTAAAAATATTTTTGTTATCATATTATAAATTCAAATATTAAAACAAAGATAAATTTAGATGTTAGTGTATGAGTTTTAAAATTAAAAAAAATCTTGTAACAACCAAATTAGACTTAATTCGTCCATCCCCTGGATCCCACCTATTAAATAAAAGGAGAGTGTGTTAACTACATTTCAATAGGTTTATCCACATCTTAATGAGACTTTGTCACCATGAAACAAGCTAAAAAGGATTGCTTGTAAATTCTTATCTGAATAAAAAAGGAAAATATAAGTGACCATGATTAGTAACATTTATAAATATTTTTAAATTTTCACACAGTGCTGCTCTGAACTTTATCAATAACATTTCCATTTTAGATTTACCATTTAGCATATGAAAATTAATCTCGAAATTTCATTCAGAATATAAGTTTTATTATCAAAGGTTAATTTTTTTTTCAAAAAAATGCACAATTTTTATATTATAAACCTTTCAAATACTGAAGGTACATTTTATTCATATGTTATCAATCAAAATATTTTCATAGTAATACAGTTTATCTATGCTATGTTCGGTAAACATCAAAAGATCAGAAGTTAATTTTAAGGTCCCCACGACTCCCAAACATGGCGTACAGGGTATACATAGGGACCAGTAAGTAAATGTCAATCATGTTCCAGCATCCAATGATGGACCTTCACGCACTTGATTGACAGGGCTACCCAGACCAGGCATTTTTGAATAACATTTTTGCTTAAAATCTCTGCCTTTAATACACAACACGATTGCCACTTTTCCTAAGTATTAAAATAAATTATAATGTGTGAAAGTGCAAGAATGTTTCAATCGAACCCATCCAAACATTTGAAGTTTCAATACCTTTGATATGAAATAAAATTTTTAATATATTTCCGTGTGAAATGCTATTACAATATATAAGTCGTGATATTATACAGAAAATATTACCTTTTAAGAGGCAGTCCACCGAAAAACCAGGCAGTATTGTACTGATAGGCGGCACATCGAATGTGAGGAATATTTGATATTTTATTGAATACAAAATCAATGTAGTCCAAATGGAATAATGTAATCGAAGATTTGTTTGAAAATTGCCTATTATTAAAATATCCTTTTCTTTCGTGTTTTTGAATTCCCCTATATAAACCATTGAATTTAGGTCAGAAACAAAGAACTGTAATTTCCAATACATTTTTAACAGGACTGTAATTCACGCTGAACTAGATCAAGAAATATTTCATTTTTCTGTTTCAAAAATAAAATCGGTGGGAAAAACACTTTTGAATTAGTTTTCTGGCAAAATATATAGACGTTTTTATGAAATTTTGCAATGCAAGAGTTATCCCCCGTGGATTCTGTAAATCTGTTACACACCTTGCTATCGGAATCCTAGTGAAATATTTAGAATCGATACACTAAAGAAAATAATTTAACAAAAAATAACTACTCTATATTCAAAATAGAACTCATTTTCGCCTTCAAACGTAATATTTAGATAAAAATGGGCTGTATTATTCAGGCTGAATCCACGTTTCCATTGATGTATCAGTGACGTCATATACCTGACTAATACTGCGTCACAATTAAATAGTAACAAGTTTTCCAGAGAAGTTTGTAAATTCTTTGCGTAAAAGTGCAAAGAAAAAGTATTAGAAATAAATAATTTCTCTTTTTCTGTTCAATTACTCTACAGAGTGCATTATCCTAAATGATAAATAATATTTTTTATATCTCTTATACATGTCTGCGAACTATTTCTTTTAAAACTGATTAACTAGGATATGTGTAAAAATAATTATTTTAGTGTTTACATGTATATAAATGAACATTTCTTAAGTAATTGGGATGTGAAGAGATTTTTTCTTCTGTTTATCTAGGAATAGTGAATATTTTAGATAAACGCAGCATTTAATGTAATGAAGTTGAAATGTTAACTTCATAATATTTTTAAAATCTTGAATATATTCATCTATGCAGTCAATTTTAAAATAAAACAATCAGTGGTACGATTAAGATATAAAACATAAGCCCTGATAAATGTTATAAAGCTATTTATCGAGGAAAATTACTGCTGAACTCCCCACTTCAATTTGGCACAGACACTTAAACGGAAGATGGTTTAGTGAAACATTTCGCATTCTTTTTTAATTTTCATAATTTGGAGATAGAAACAATCACGAAGTTAAAATATATAACTATGTTGGCCAATTCTAAAATGAAAAAAAAAATGCCTTGATGCCGCCTTGACCTCCCCCCTCCCCTGATTTTTGCTTGCGATTTGTGGGCACTTAAAAAATGATATATATATATATATATATATATATATATATATATATATATATATATATATATATATATATATATATATATATATATATATATATATATACATTAAAATAAAATAAAAAGGCAACACTTGTTAAAACGTAAGCGCTTTCATTGTTTTCTTCAGACGTTTTAAACAATTTAAACTTGTGACGTAATAACGTTACCTGGTGGTAACGTCAAAAACAATACAATGACGTCACAATACTGAAAGAAGAAACTTTTACATGAGTTAAAAGAAAATAAGCATATTGTTTGTATGCAAATGTCAGTGTTTTACAAAAAATATAAAAATGTCTAAAGTGAACTATTTAGTGATGGTTTTAACAGTTTTATAAAGTATTTCTCCTTTTCTCGTCTTTGCACCACATTGTCTGTATAAAGTTGGTAAAATGGAAAAACTGAAAATTGTCCCCGGCCACAAATATCAAGATGTCCGCTTACATTTATTTTACGGTATTCAGGTTGGTTTATGTGCTGTTTGTGTATGCGGATACGTGTACGTAGTGTGGTTCCAGTTTCCCCAACTGGAACCATACGTACACGTATCCGCATACACAAACAGCACATTAACCAACCTGAATACCGTAAAATAAATGTAAGCGGACATCTTGATATTTGTGGCCGGGGACAATTTTCAGTTTTTCCATTTTACCAACTTTATACAGACAATGTGGTGCAAAGACGAGAAAAGGAGAAATACTTTATAAAACTGTTAAAACCATCACTAAATAGTTCACTTTACATTTTTATATTTTTTGTAAAACACTGACATTTGCATACAAACAATATGCTTATTTTCTTTTAACTCATGTAAAATCAGTATTGTGACGTATTGTATTGTTTTTGACGTTACCACCAGGTAACGTTATTACGTCACAAGTTTAAATTGTTTAAAACGTCTGAAGAAAACAATGAAAGCGCTTACGTTTTAACAAGTGTTGCCTTTTTATTTTATTTTAATATTGATTACTGGACACTGAGATATTTATTTTATTTCTTTTGGATACATATATATATATATATATATATATATATATATATATATATATATATATATATATATATATATATATATATATATATATATATATATTATATAAAGCACTAAAAAGACCAACAACACTGTATATCCTAAATGTCGGATCTACCAAGTAGATACAAGGTCACGGATGGAAATTCATATAAAGCACTAAAAATGACCAACGACACCCGAGTATACCCGATAGTCCGGACATATTTCATAGCGGTCCGGATTTCTTTCTTTAATAGTGTTCTTAAAAATTTCCAATTCAACATGTAACTAAGTTTGTAAATATTTAGTGTTTAGTAGTTTAGTAGTAGTGCTAGTTATTTTTGTTTCTCTTTTTCCTTTGTTCTTATGACTTTTTAACTTTTTTCTTTGTCCTGAGGAAGGGACAGGGCGTCCCGAAAATTTGACAATTTTTATTGTTCGTGTCGTTGGTCATTTTTAGTGCTTATATATATATATATATATATATATATATATATATATATATATATATATATATATATATATATATATATATATATATATATTTAAAAGTAAAAATCCAAAAATATCACAAAACATTTATATATATATATATATATACAAATGTCATATATATATAGTTATTGTATATATATATATATATATATATATATATATATATATATATATATATATATATATATATATCATGGAAGTTTATAAAAAGGGAAAATCTTAAATATTCCTTTGCCACATTTTGCGAAATGTTCACAACACGGTGTATTACGCACACTAGGGACTTTAATTTGTTGCTTGTGCAATATATAATTATAAAAGAAAAAGAAAATGAAGTTTCCAAATTTCATTTAACACAAGCGCTTTCTGGATTTCATAATCCGTCTTCAGGTGTACATAAATTGAACTGATTGTTTTGCTTAGTAACGTTAACTATGACGTCATGACGTCATGAGAGTCTTTGCAGGGAAGGAATTAATCTATGACGTCATAGTATGGCTACGTTACGTAAAAGTTAGGGAAAATCAAATTGGACAATAATAGACAATACATCACATATTTTTCAGTCTCAATAAACAAAGTAAACAGAAATTCTAATTGATGATATATAAAATTAGGTAATTTCTCAATGTTAATGTTTGTTCAGTTTTGGTGAAAAAAGATTTATGAAGTAGTTTTCTTTTGCTAATCTCATTGCAGTGGAATCGTTCCTAAGTTTATAAAAGGGGAACACACAGTAGTTTCCTTGTGAGCAAATATCGAAATGTTCACTGCATGGCGTGTTTCTTAGGCTCGGATTGTTAATTTGTTGGCGATGTACGCGCATTCGGGCGGTTAATTGGGTCCCGGTCTGGCCGATGTATTCCTCTCCGCAGTTGTTACACGTAATACAATAAAGGAGGTTTTTGCTCTTACAGGTCATATTTTCATTCACAAGAAATGTTTTTCCACACTTATATATATATATATATATATATATATATATATATATATATATATATATATATATATATATATATATATATATATATATATATATATATATATATATATATATATATATATATATATATATATATATATATATATATATATATGAAAGAACTTATTTTTTCATTTACATATAACAAAATTTTGTAAAAGAGGGAAATATAGGGTAAAAGGCTTAACAGATGACAGATTGAAAAACTTGGATAAAGCCGAGACTGTGAACATAAAATATATTTTCTGTATTTAGGTACAGATGTGCAAGAATAATTTCGCCACTCATAGAATTTAACTCTTTAATTTCTGAAAAAATAATAATTAAAATAAATACTTGGAAATAAGATATTTAATGATGCTAAGTTGTCTGCTCTCAGTTGTTGCATAATGCATGTACAAATACCGAGTATCAAGAAATCAAACATATACGTTTTACATGTACTCTATTTGAATTCTTCATGCACCTAAAAGACATCAAGAATTTAAATATCCTAGTACACGTACATTTCAATCTATGGACAAAATCATTGCGTGGACCCTGAGGTCCACGCAGTATATATATAAGCGAGGTTAAACCGGATGCCATGGGCAAACGACAGGCTACGCATGCGCGAGAATGCTAGAGAGTTTGCCCCTTAGGCAACTTGCCCGTAGAATAATTACCGTCTTCCTTGGAAGACGGTATTGTATAGTTGAAGTTTTTTACAGTCTTCGGACTATGCACTTCCTCTCTATTGTGATTGGTAGAAATTGCATGATGAGAAAATTTTCAATTATTTCATTGGTTGAAATGCTGTTCAAGACAAGGGAGATAACTTTCGGATGATCCAATTTTCGTACGACTTAACAATTTTGCAAGATTTTCAATCTTAAAAAAAATGACAAAACGAACAACAAAATCAGCAGTAATTAATTCTTAATAACATGATATTTTTTATAGCAATAAATAAAAAGATCTCTTTAATTTCATTATAAATAGAATTTGATTTTTATTGCTTGCAGGCTTTGCAATTTGTTATTATTCTTTTCCCCTTTCTTGTTTGAAAAATGGAATGGAATCAGCCGAGGTTTGCCGAAAGCTCTCGGCCAGTCAAAGTTTACGGAGATGACCGAGCGACAACCGTGGTTGGGCTGATGTCAGTAAAAAGCTAATGTAGAAATACAAAATCAAGAAATTCAAAAGAATTATACGGCCTGAGAGGTGTAGATCAGTTTACTGTTTAAGATTGTTGCTAAAGACGGTAAGCTTTTTTAAAAAGCTCTACTTGTTCGCCCTATAAGAATTAGAATATGCCCTTCATTGACATATCACGCTTTCAGATCCGCACTCCGTATTTATATACATGTATTCATTGGCGGATCCGAAAATCTCTCTTAAACATATACTTATGTATATTCTCTTATTCAATCTAAATATTAATTCTGTGGCACATGTATAAGCATTTTAAAAAGTAGGGAGAACTTGCGTATATAGATACATGTAACTTAACAACTTGAATAAAAACGTCAGTTCTAGCTAGTTCTAGCTTTTAAAAGATAAAACAAGTTTTTACCAGCATTAGTTTTGTGCTTCAAGGCTCGCAAAATAATTTGATATTTCAGCAATCCAAATACCGTTTGATAGAGGTATGTAGAGGTATTGATAGAGGGGGGGGGGGGGGCGGATCTCCGACAAAAAGAAAAATATCTGCGTACTACAGAGCTGTGCTACACGTGAACCATCAGATCTATTTTCCCATAATAAAATTTCTTCCGTAGAAATCCAGAACAGGTTTTAAGTCCCAGCCATTATGGGCTACATGTGCCAATATAGCCCGATTTTTTAAACTGACAAAACTAAAGGCTAATCGGAGATAAAATTTAACAATGCTTTAAGACTAGAATCAGTCATAAGTAGGTAGGTCATTGTAGAAAATTTAAACCAAACTTACATGAATATTCACTACACCTAGACATTTTCTTAAATTGAATTTCGGTTAGAAACACATGTATATGGTCCACGTATTGCAGTCCTTTTTTAAAGGACAGCAACTTGTTTAAAACATTTACAGACTGTAAAGAAACAAAAGCTATGCAGATTTTTCTGATAAAATAAAATAAAGAACCAATTTTAGGAAATATCTGGTAAAAACCAATTCCGATTGAAATAAAACCGATCCCGATCGAAAATAATGTAAAATTTATAAAGTCATCAAACTAAAGACAAATGCCATCTATAAGACATGTATGAAAATAAATAAAGTAATTTTTTTAACTATATTACAACAAAAGAGTCAAATTCAACAGTACAATTATAATATTTTCTTCTTTATATAATTCCGATCGGGATCGGTTTAATTTGGGAAAAATCATAGATAATAGGTAAATTTGACCCCTTTTATTTCTCCCAATATACCTGTTCCCACCAGTTTTATTAAGTGACTCAAAAGTTTGTACTGTGTTTTCATAAAAACATTAGGAATAAATTCTGTGTAGTAATGTATTGGATTTTATAACAGATGGAAAATTGGATGCAGAATTGAAAAAGTCACTTGCTAAACTCAATTTTTGACCACATAATTTTTTTCTAAACAAATATAATTTGGAGTCTTATTCATTATAAAATAAAAGATAAGAGTCTATGTTATAAATATTATTGATTGACATATCCAGCTTTTGAGTATCTGTTTCATAAAAAAACAAAATCAAAACGTAGTTACTGTAATTTTTTTACCCTCATGTTGACCTTTTTGCACTTAAAATTAGGCATTTACCAAAAATAGGACTAGAGGACAACTAAAAAAAATTTTGATGTTGTCACGTGTAAACACTTGCTTTAATAAGTCTACATGCAAAAAATAATTAAAATCCATGACATGCGATGTGCCACCCATTGCCTGGTTTTTCGGTTGACTGCCTCTTAATCTGTTTTTATTCACCTTTAATGGCTAATACTCCTTTATTAGATTTTCAAATTAAATTGCCATTTCTGTGAAAGTTTGTCATGAAAAGGTAACCTGAAATCGTATCCAATTTAACCTCCTGAAAAAAGTAATTGAAAGCAATGACATGAGTGAGGAGAGAAATAATAAATCCTAAATGTTTTCTCACCTGCAGGATCTTCAAAGTAAACAAGACATGTTCTATCTTCAGAGTTGATTATGGCTTCCTTGACTCCACCCCCACCACTTCGCTTCTTATTGTCGAAATAGAATTCCAGTGTATCCACTGATGTGCTCTCTCCAAATCCAGATACAATTACACAGTTAGAGATAGGGACTCTTCTCACTGATAGGTAGTGTTTTTGTAAGGCATTCATTTGACATGCTGCCTCGAGTTTTCCAAAGTCTGAAAATTATTAACAAAAGTAGCATTTTACTTTAAATCTTAATCAATTTATATATCAACATTCAATACTAAGAACTTTCTTGGGTAAGACACTAGAACATTAAATAACCATCATAGATTCATTGAAATATGTGTAAGCCCTTCCAAGGTGCTTCTCACTTCGGTCTTCTGTCATAAAAGCATTCCTTTTGTCTGTCAGACTTTAGCTCAGTTTAAAAGAAAAATATTACAAGATAATTATAACTACATGTAAAACTTCTTTCTCTGATTGTTTTTTGTGACATATATCAAACCGTTGCATCAACTTTTGACTTTGACCTTCACTTGTTATTTTTTGTGGACAGAATTCAAATGTGGCATAATTTCCCGGGCCTCCTGTGACCATGAATTATTCATTAATTTCCATTTTTCTTAGTTTCAAAGATACTTTTTTCAAACTTAAAAAAAGATAAATATATTGACGTTAAGCAACCGTGTACATGTTTTTTTTCATATTTTATCATAACTCACAATTTTTTGGCTTAATTTCCGTTAGGACATTATCTTCTTTTTTTTCAAAATACATTTAAACCAATCGAACTAAATTACTGAAAGGAGAAATTAAACTTCAAAATTTCAATTTTTTTTATCTTTACCTTCCTAATATTTTTAACCTCCCCATGACATTGAATGACACTTTAAAAAGATTTTAAAATATAACTTTATATAATTAAAAACAAACTGGCAAAAGCAATTATTGAACTTTTTAAACTCTCTCTCTCTCTCTCTCTCTCTCTCTCTCTCTCTGCTCCTGACTTTACTTCTCTTCATTTTACAGTTACTGCCAAAATACATGTTCGTGGTTTTTTTGCTAAAAGTGTTTACGAGGGGCGTTCAATAAATAATGTCATCAGGGATCGGAAAGAAACAAAAAACGCTTTTCTATGATTTTGTCTTCATGATTTAACTAAAATATTCTCTTTTAATTAAAACACATGTCTGTAACATTTTTATTCAATTTCTAATTGTTTTTAGAACACAGTTTTGAGTATGACCCTTCGTATACTGGAAAATGGCAGATCCTATGATTTGCTGTACTTGTTTTTTTTCTTTCTGAAAGGTGTTTTTCTAAGTTTGTGAAATTAAACAAGTCAAAGATTGAAAGATCTGCCGAATGTTGTTGATGTGACAAAACATTAACATTCTATTTACCCCAAAACTCCTTTACTCTTTATGGCCTGTGGGTTTGGACGCTGTCAGGAAGAACTTTAATGTAGTGAATTCCTCATTCTGTTTCCTTCCTCTCATAAACCTTTCAATTTTTTGGCAAATATTTTGCTTACTAGACTCCACCAGAAATTTAACTGCCTCCCTATATATGAATTTGAACAACAAGACCGCTAATATTTAAGAAAATAGCGTATAAAACTGTCTTTGTGTTCTTGCAAATTTTGCTCTTCTTAGGCCTTTGCAGTTTTTTCAAGTACATCTCATTCTAAATTTGTTTTGAGGGTTTAACGCAAAATGGATTTAAGTTTCATGATCTGTTTGAATTTCAGAAAAACGTGGATAAGAACAATTTTTGATTTTTTAAAAATAATTGTTTAGATTTTCTACACGCTCTCGTTTTCACTCATTTTTTAAAATATAGGGTGACCTTTGAGTATTAAACTTTTTTACAATCAAATGTTTCTTTAAAACAGTGTGAACTACCCCCCAAAATGATGTCTATCAAATTTGCTATGCTACTTAAAGTCAATAAAACATAATCAGTGATAATTTGTTGAATTATCGCTATATATACATTAGTTGTTGTATGTCCTTGTTGACAAGGACGGTACCCATTTTTTGATGCCCAGTATATAATTTTTGTAAATTGAAATCCACCTGTTCATGTGTGTATGAAACAGACATAGGTTCTGTACATTTTACATATTTCATTTAATATATTTTTGGGAAATTAACAAGTTTTACAGCAGCTTTAATGACGCGTTCAATTTTACTCTAGTTTACTGATTCTTGGCCATTCATTTTTAATGCAGTGTCTCGAGTAGCCCTTGTTTCCCAGCTTCCCACAATGAAATTATGCGATGAAAAGTGGTCACATAAACTGTTATCAATTCATTAAAGATTCAATAATTAGAGAAAGTCAAGCTTAATGTCATATGATTCCTATGTTGTATGTCATCGAGCTGATGACATTATTTATTGAACGCCCCTCGTATACTGTTATAAATAGGTCATGCAATTAATGTGTGTTTCCATGCTGCTATGTTTTACACAAGTGGCAACTAGAAATTTATCTAATTAATGCCCTACCCAAGGAATTTAACTGTGAAAGTTGCAAACCCAAAAAGTAAAAGTACTTTAAACAAGGATTGTAGTAAAACAGGATTATCGCCAGCCCTATACATGTACCTCTTAATTCCCAAAAAGAAACTATTGCTGTTCCCTGCTCTTGTCCATAAATCACATCTTTGACATCGTCTCTTGATTTGGCTTCTAAGAAATTTACTAGTCCCTCTTTTGTTGTTTCTGGATTAAATCCTTTTATCAGTACTCTGTCTTGGTACATTGGTACGGGCTTAGGCGGTTGGTAAATTTTGACTTGCAAAGTGGCTCCATCAACCCTATGCTCTTGCTGGAGAACTCTCTCAACAACTTTTAGAAATAAGTTGAAATGAATAAATTTTGCAAAAAGGCTGAAGATATAATGAAAGCGCTAACATTTTAACCTGTTTTAACCTATATAATTATTAGGAATGGCAATCGATTACAGAATTGCCAATCGTTTAATCGCTAGACGTTCCGACCGATTAACCGGTTAGTCGTATCAAAAATACATATTTATTTGATAATTATATTTGTTTTTTTTTTTTTAAAAAGAAACTCTTTTTCAGAAACAGAAAGAAATTCCTTTTTAAAAAGTGTTAAACTGTTGATATTTAATCAGAACAATTCGTGAATTTATCTTTTATATGACGAAAAAGGATAAAGAAATCACAAAAAACATGCTTTACGTAGTTCATATTTAACAGTTTTTCAAGTCAATCTACAATCGTTATACACTCTTCATTGTTGTCGATGTCATTAGTATTTGAAATGAGTTGCCGATTTTTGTTTAAGAAAATTATTTGATCGACAAAGGCTGATGCAAACGATTCCTAAGTTTGTTGATAATAATTCCGGATGTAGAAAATATTCTTTCCGAGGGCACAGCATCGTCTCAAGCCACGGTCCGGAGTCCGCATATATAGCTCTCTCCAGATGGGAGAGGAGCGTACATTTTGGCCGTGGTTTGCGACGATGAGGGCACAAATGTTCCTGGGATTGATAAATATTTTTTTGCCAAGCCGGCGACATTAAGAAATTGTGTCCCATGTTCAGCCCATCATTTCAAAGGATCAACTCTTTGTGTTTCTTTCTCGTTTATAAACTACGATAATTTACTTTCTGGTGCGCAAGCATATTTGATGTCCCCCCCCCCCCCCAGTGTAAGTTAATTCCATCGAACAAATTTGACATTTTACAGTTTTTCCATCTAGCTCTCTCTTAAAATATTTCCAAGCATGCGATGTCGTTGGCATGGTTGGTGGTGGCATTTTCAATGACAAAAAGTAGTTAGTACTGGTAGTTACAAATTAAAAGTTGTTACACACAAACTTAAACAGTATTCAGTAGTGAATTAATACCATTCAAGCATGATTAGAGAAACGCCGGTTATGTTCATGCCGGAAAGAGGTCGGTGTTTTAACAGTAGTTAGCACTTCTCAAACCGTCCAAAACCCTGGTGTCAATTATACGGTTGGCTGTAATTTTCTCCAAATTATTATAATTGGACAGCTTTGACACCGTTTAATAACAGTTCGAGATTTGGAATGAAAAATTACAACTTGAGAAATTTTGCTAAAAATACGCATATTTTCATTTTTTGATTCGACTAACCGATTAGATAATTTGCAATCGATTACCATCGTTTCGACCGATTAATCGATTAACCGGTTAGAAATTGACATCCCTAATAATTATTTACTTATTCTTTAGCATGACAAGATGTATTCTAAGTCAACTTTTCGTAGGTTCTATGGTTGATACATGAAGAATCACCTTGTCAGCAAATACAATTTACCATTTAGTCAAATGCTGACTGAATTTTTTCATACTAATTGTTAGTCCATTATTTATATAATGAATTTTCCCGTTATGCACGGATTTTACCGCTATTTCCCCGTCATGACAAGGAGCACACGGCGGGTGTGACCTGTCATCAGCGGATGCTCACTCTTCCATGGCACCTGATCCCACCTCTGATGTTTTAGAGGTCCGTGTATGCTCTGCTCCTATTTTGTATTGTTTTGTGGACTTTGATATTGAATACTGTTCGTTATCTCCATATCCTTCATCCACACTTGACATTTCTTGCTATAAAGAAAGCACATATGCTTGTAAAAACATAAATTCATCAACACTATCCATCCAAAAGTTATGACCAAGGTTAAACAGAAAACAGGCAGACAGAAGGACAGACCAAAACTAAATGTCTTTTACTGTTTCCTTCGGGAAAATGAAATAAGAATTCTTAGTATTTCTTTGCACGTCATAGCCATTTTACTTAAGATTTAATTGGATGATATAAATTTGAAAAGATAGTCTATACAAATCTGTCACTTTAGAAAATCAAATGACAGATTGCAGGAAATATATAATGCAAATTTTTTTTTAGGTAGATTAAAGAAAATATTTGAAACATGACACCTCTGAGCACTTAAGATCTTAATTTTTACTTACTTTTTTCATCTTCAAATGTGACATACAGGACTCCATCTTCCACTTCACCTTTGACCTCTTCGACACCTCCACCTCCTGACTTCCTCTTGTTGTCAAAGTACAATTCTACACTATCTATGGATGTTGTTTCCTTCATACCTCTAACTTCTATAGTACACAAAGTTCCAGTGTTCTCTTCTGCTTCTTTTTCCACTTTCTTCCCATCCATCTTTCCTTGTTCCACATAAATTTGTTTTTTATTGAAAAGAAGTGGAGCTTTTTGAAGAACACTTGAAACAACTGGGAATGAAAAGAAACATAAAGACTACATAGGGTAAATATACAATATTTCTTGTCACCTCATTTTTGCGAGATAGGATGGTAGTATTGATTTTTTTTTTATTAAGACACGGAAACTTTGGTAATTATTCCATACAATCTCAAATAATACATTAAACATGAGAAGTTCATTTTAGTCAAAAGACTTCTTGCTTGTCATGCACAAAGTGATTTAAAGTACATGAATTAAAAATTCAAAACATTTCAGGAACTTATACTACCATCAGAATCTTTGAACCACACAACAGCACAATTTGAATCTTCATCATACTCCACTTTTTCCACCTCTCCTCCTCCAATCTTCCTACGATTTTCAAAGAAGAGAATTATTTGTTCTTCTGAGGTCCCTGGGGGGAGCCTAGTGACCTTTATTGCCCCTCCCTCCTGGTCCTTCTCCTCTACGGTGATATTATAGTCATTCTGACTAAGACGAATTTCTATCTGCTGCTCGTCCTCTATAAAATATAACTCAAAGTAATGATAAACTGATTCTCATGCGTCTACTGTGATCTGCTTGAGACAACAAAAAGAAGAAGAGTTCTACAGGCCTTATAGGTCACTTGACTATGATGTAACAATTTTCCAGCATTGAATTTGGTTTATGTTTTAAACTAGAGGCAATGAAATATACATTTTTGAAAAAGGAATCAGTGCTCATCATAATCGTCGTTTTTCATACTAATTGTTAGTCCATTAGGCCTATTTATACACTGAATTGACATCGGATTTTTCCGTTATTTCCCGATCATGACAAGGAGCACACGGCGGGTGTGTCCGGTCAGATGGGTATGCTCACTCCTCCATGGCACCTGATCCCATTTCTGATGTTTCGCAGGTCCGTATTTGCTCTGCTTCCATCTTATATTGTTTTATGGACTTTGATATTGAATACTGTTCGTTATCTCCAATCCTTCTTCATACACTTAGCCTTCTTAATTAACTTTGATAAGGTCAAGGCTTTTTGACATCATTGACTGCTGCTTTTTCAAGAAATATTATTATATGAATTACTTATTTCGTCATTGGTCGTTTGCAAAAATATTTTGTAAAATAACAGACCTATGGACCTTTTAAGTCATTCTAGCATCATTTAACAACTTCCAATCATTATAAATTTGGTTCATGTTTTAAATCAGAGGCCATGACATTCACAATTTTGAAAGCACCCTTGCTCATCATAAGCAATTTTGTAGCTGAGCATGGTTTACCCTTAGCATGTTTGTTCTTACTTAAGACCCACAGGCAGAGAAGGAGGAAAATGCACTTCAACTAATCATTAATATTCAGCAATAGTCGATAGTGCCCCATCCCACAGAGTCCCAATGACACTGTCACCACACATTATTATATTTCGGCAAAAGCGACTTTGTTCATAATATACAGCTGATTAATACCATGGAACATGTTTCAAAGCATTAGTTCATTTTTAGTATATAATAAGAGCCCCCCGCCCCCATAATATCCCTGACCCAGGGACCTTGAAATTAATAATTCTGGAAGAAGGGCCGTTCCTCATTATATACCTGTCAAAATTTCTAAGTCCCCACTTTTATTTTTTCAAAACGTTTAAAACCTTTTCTTCAATTTACTAGTTGCTTACAAATTTGCCTTTAATTTGTATGACTTACCTGTCAAGGCCAAAAAAAGTGTAATCGAAAGTGTAACTACTCGACCATGACTTTTTTTTGTTAAAGAGCATGAAGTTCGAGTTCCATATGTTTTTTTTTTTTTGTGTGTGTACATTCTTCATATTTTCGACTTCCATCTTTAATTGATAATGAAAAACAGAAAAAAAGCTGGAATAAAATGCAGTGCATGTCCACACAACAAGTTGCAAGTGAAGTTGACATGGCCCAAGCTGGTCATAGTTGACGAAAGTTCTGTTTTCTTTCACTGTATGACTTTATTTTACTTAAAATCTTTATGATTCCGCCCGAGAAACCTACAAAGTGTAACTGAATTACTTTTAATCGTTAGAAATCGCTAGATTTTCAACAAACACCACGAAATCATCCTAGAGTTTATCCGTAAAAAATAAATGGAACCGGAACCGGAAGTGCCCTCCCATCAAGGTCAAACTGGAGGAGTGGGGAATACATGTAAGAAGACGATATGTAACTTTTGTTGACAAGACACATACAATTTCGATAAGACCCCTTGTCATCCTTATCTAAACCCTATTTAGCATGTATGGAAGAAGAAAGACCGGAGTGTGAGACAGCTTTTTCAGCAGCAGAATCTAGCGGAACTAAGGACGACCAATAGTCTCCACATGGAAAACCATTCAATAAAAGATTTTTTCTTAAATAGTGTGAACTCTTTGAGAAACGGTTGTCTTGTTGTGAATTCGTTTGAATGGAGAATAATGCAGTATTTAACGTTGCGAATTTTTAATTCTAGGGTGCCTTAACGTTTCTGCATATTGTGTTAAGTACTAGTCTGTGTAAAAATCATGCAAATGTGATATTTGAGTGATACATTCAGGATCTCAGAAATCAATGATTTTCCACACATATATTTCTCTTGACCTATGATCCATGTATGTAAAATAAAAAATGTTTTGGATCATGGTTACTACGGAAACCTGATCAAAGTAATTTCCTTAGCAACCAGCCAATTTTTCTATTTGAAGGCACTGAAAATCATTGATCTTTAAAGCCTGAAATTATGTATCAAATCTTTAACAATAATTCTCATTTACTGGTATGATAAAGACACACACATTATTTGTTTAAAACACACAAGACATTGATATTTTATCTGAAGCTAGTACTATGGTAGACATTAGAATATATGTATGTTTTTGCATTTTTGCTGATTCAGCATTTTCCTTGATTTTGACAATATTCAAGGTCAATTTAAAAAAAATACCAAGCTAATACAGATTTTGCATGACTTTCACATAAAAGTAGAGAACTTTCTCTTTTACAGATTGACTTTGAGTTTTTTAAAAAATCCTATTCGTTGCCTAGCAACAAAATTAGATATTTTGATAAATAAAAAGTGAAAAATGGTAAAGGGTTGGGTCAAAAATCTTAAAATTTTTTATTTTATTGTGACAGATACAATTTTTCAAGTAATAGAAAATAACTCTCATATAATTTTAAAATGAGAGAATAATTTATAATCATTAAATTCCATGGAACAGAAAATTTTCCCTAGCAACAATGCAAAACAGTTATTTTTTGGCCTTTTTGGTATAGATTTTGATAGATACGAATAGATATTTTTTCTTTAAAATGTGATTGGGCATAAATGTCAATTTAATATGGGTCTAATAAAGTTATTCTGGTACTTTATTAACCCATAGGTACAATTCTGAACACTTAACGACCACTTTTGTATCTACAATTTACTATTACATTCAGGCATTTTTTTTCGCTAAATTTTTAGGGCTGAAATGAGATCTTCCACAAAAGATGTTATAAATGAAAAATAAATAGCTTCAGATACAATATTATTATGTAACAAAAGATTTGTATGGATGACAAGATTCCATAATTAAATTATACTTGAGTTGCCATGGCAACTTAATGCACAATGACCAGAAAGCAAACTATCTGCGACCAAAATATTTGAAATTTTAGCTTTCATTTAAAATTACTAGTAATACTTTTGCTAGCATTGCAATAAGCAAACACACAGAAAGCTTTAAAATTCATAATTTAAGAAACTGTATATTTTTATGGTTACCATGAGTACGCTTTGAAGCTAGTGTTGCTTAGCAACTGCGTAATATAACCAAATTTTGAAATTTACGAATGTTTCGGGTTAAAAAAAATTTATTGTCATTGAGATTTATTCATCATTTAAAAATTCGTATTAAAAAATTTCTACCGCTTTACATTCTAGAAACATTTCATTGGTGTATATATGTTTTTCTGTTAACATTTTGTTTGGTATGTACCTGTCTGTTTGTCTGTAGACTTTTCACATTTGTAACTTCTTAAGAACCATTTCACCATAACTTTCCACAAGAGGAGTTTAAAGTTTAATGTATGAATGTATAGTAAATGTCTTTGTAAGTCTTCTTCTTCTCGAGAACAGCAAAACCATGATTAGGCATAGAAGTATCCTCGGGTTATGGAGATTCAATGTTATTCAAATCATGACCCCTGTGGGTAGGGCAGAGCCACAACAGGTGGGTAAAGTATACAATTGGAATATATAGGAAATACATGTATCATAAAAAATCTTCTCAAGAACCGCTAAGGCATAATTAGACATATAGAGAAGTATCATCAGGTAGTGTAAAATCAAGTTTCTTCAAAACATGACCCCTGGGGTTTGGCACAGACACAACAGGGGCCCAAATATCTTATTTCTTCTTTAGAACAGCAAAACCATTATTAGTCATATTAATACAGAAGTATCCTTACGTAGTGTAGATTTGATGGCACCCGAGGGTAGTTCAGGGCCACAACAAGGGCTGAAAGTTTACAAAAGAATATTGGGAAAAAGTATTTTGAAAATTCTTCCCCTCAAGAACAACAAAACTGTGATTAGTAATATTGAAATGGAAGCATCTTCAGGAAGTGTAAATTCAAGTATGTCTCTCATAGACATTTCAAACTGATCTGATTTCTGTTCTTTCAAGGCAAATGTGCTTAAAAGAGTAATGTGGGCCTATAGGCTCCTTTTTCTACAAAATAATGCACTTTTCTCTCCTAAATATAAAGAAATTACATGTACATGTAATATGAAATCAAAATCCATATTGAAAATTGACAATTCATGAATAGATATCTTGAGTATCGCTTTCAATAATAATAACTCAAATGATTAGACAAATAATTTTATATAATTATCAAATTAAGAAATAATCAAACATATATTTCTGTTTCCTTTACAAAAGCACAGAGAGTAATGTAGTGCATATTGAACTAATGTAGTTCCCTGGGTAAAATACAGAAAAAACAAGATGTGTTTGTGAAACACTGATGCCCCCGTATGACAACATAGCAAAGGTTAAACTTTTCTTAAATGCAAATTTAATTAATTGGTAAAGTAAGGTATTCTCACTGGAAAACAATTTTGAGATTCGAAAGTAAGCCAATGTTAAAGTTTTTTCAATAAGTAGAAAAATCTCTAAGATCAAGGTCAAAAAGTCAATGTAATTGGTATCAAATGAAAGGTCTTGCCACATAAAATATACTTATATAGAGTATGAAAGCCCTAGCGCTAACCGTTCAGAAGTTATGGCCAAGGATAAATTTTTCAAAAGTAGGTCAAACTCCAAGGTCAAGGCAAAAGGGTCAAAGTTCTTGTCATCAAATGAAAGGTCTTGTCGTAGGGAATAAATATATAAAGTATGAAAGCACTAGCCTTAACCCTTAAAAAGTTATGGTCAATGTTTGCTTTTTTAAAGTTGGTCAATCTCAAAGGTCAAGGTCAAAGGGTCAAAGTTCTTGGTATCCAATGAAGGGTATTCTCACAAGGATTACATACATGAAGTATGAAAACCCTATTCCTTACCGTTCAAAAGTTATGGCCAAGGTTAAAGTTTTTTCACAAGTACAGAAATGTACAAGGTCAAGGTCAAAGGGTCAAGGTTGTTGGTATCCAATGAAATGTCTTTCTTTCAACAAAGATTACATATGTAAAGTATAAATGTCCTGGTATCTACTGTTCAAAAGATATGGCCAAAGTAAAAGTTTAAAATTTTCATGTAAAAATGGGACAAACTCCAAGGTCAAGGTCAAAAGGTCAAATTTTGGTGGTAAACAAAGAAAGGTCTTGTCACAAGGAATACATCTGTGAATTATGAAAATCATAGCTCCACTAAATCAAAATTATGGGCAAGGTTAAAGTTTTTGCGGACAAACAAAGAGACAGACAGACAGAGCGAAAGACAGACAGACAGACAGACAGGAAAAAACTATATACCCCCGAAACTTCGTTTACGGGGGCATAAAAATACAATTGTAAATATAAAACCCTAGCACCACCTGTTCAAAGGTTATGATCAAGGTTAACGTTTTTAAAGGTAGGAGAAACTCCAGGGTCAAGATCAAAGGATCAAGGTTTTTGGTTTTTAAGAAAGGCCTTGTTCCAAAGATTTCATATATGGGAGGTATGAAAGTGCTGGCCCTTACCGTTCAAAAGTTCTGGCCAAGGTTAAAGTTTGTAAAAAGTAGGTCAAACTCCAAGGTCAAGGTCAAATGTGTTTATACTTGATGAAAGGTCTTGTCACAAGGATTACATATATGAAGAATGAAACCTCTAGCCCTTACTGTTCAAAAGTTATGCCCAAGGTTAAAGTTTTTATAATGCCAAAACTGAAGAGATCAGTCATTTCTAAAATTATAATAAATACAGAACCTAACTTTTACTACCTCACTTGATCATTTTGGCAAGTTCAGAATTACTAGTACAATCTAGGGTATATTTTTTAGCTTGCTGGAAAGACCCAAGAAGATGCAAGGACAAAATGGCAGCGCACTGGAATATTATAAACTAGATGCCCATTTTTTCTATTGCTCTCTTATTTTTCACCCAAGATTGAAATAACAGTAAAACACAGAATGCTTATATAGCAGAATTATTAAGCTGTGTCATTGTCAAGTCCACTCTAGAATTCATTATTCTGAATTGAGACCACCACCACCCCCCTATAGTACCTTCTTATTAATAATTTATCAATTCAGCAAATTAAAGTTCCAGTGGTTCTGATATCTACCTCTGTGTTTTATGATGGCTACAGCGCTAACTCACCTCTCTTTTTGAAAGAATTGTTTGTAACTAAGTACTAGAAAATAGTGATATGGTAATGTCTTTTTCCACTTCAGTCGCCCGCGTGGCGCAGTCGTTAGAGCATCTGCTCTAGAGATGAAAAGTAAGGAGCTGATACTTACGTCGCGGGTTCGAATACCACTGTGGGACGTGGAGACTGGTCCTTCGGATGAGACCGCATAAACCGAGGTCCCATCTCACAATAGGTGCCGGCACGAAAAAGATCCATCACTGCTCTTGAAAGGGCCGTAAGTGCCGAGTATAGGATACAATTTGCACCTCTCCTCTGGCAAGTGGTGGCGTCTCCATAAAAATGACAAATTCTCGAGAGGGACATTAAACAACATACAATTAATCAATCAATCTTCCATTTCAAAGTACAGCAATTGATTTCCAGATACTTTCATTAGATATTTTTTCTTTAAAATGTGATTGGGCATAAATGTCAATTTAATATGGTTCATTAAAAACTTTTTGTTTGTAAAGTACACTAAAGCTGTACTTCGCCCCCAGTTTTTGCTTAATGGGCTAAACTAACTGGTTATTCAAGTACCTTTAGCATTCGTTTTTCTACAAAAAGTATATTTTTTATGATTACCATGGATATAATAACGTGATATTGAATTAGTGTGGCTTAGGTACTATTCTATTAGCTGCAGAACTGTAGTTCTATGCTTGAGAAAATTCGTACAGATAAAGCCGGGAGCTACAGATTCAAGCGTTGTAAAAACCTTTGATTTACGCTGACAATTTTTTGTCGCTCACGTCGGGTATTTTCTCTTCTATTTTATACTTCCCTCAGCTTTAAAAAGGTATTTTATAATTATAACCATACATTAATGTACTTTACAAACAAAAAGTTTTTAATGGCCAGTGTGCAACTTATTACCATGGCAACCCAAGAATTAGTTACTCAATGGAATCTTGTCATTCATACAAATGTTTTGTTACATCATAATATTGTATCTGAAGCTATTTATTTTTCATTTATAACGTCTTTTGTGGAAGATCACATTTCAGCCCTAAAAATTTAGCAGAAAAAAATTCCTGAATGTAATAGTAAATTGTAGATACAAAAGTGGTCGTTAAGTGTTCAGAATTATACCTATGGGTTAATAAAGTACCAAAATAACTTTATTAGACCAATATTAAATTGACATTTATGCCCAATCACATTTTAAAGAAGAAATATCTATTCGTATCTATCAAAATCTATACCAAAAAGGCCAAAAAATAACTGTTTTTGCAATTTTTGCTAGGGAAAATTTTCTGTTGCCATGGAGATTAATGATTATAAATTATTCTCTCATTTTAAAATTATGTGAGGGTTATTTTCTATTACTTGAAAAATTGTATCTACAAACAATAAAATAAACATTTATAAGATTTTTGACCCAACCCTTTACCATTTTTCACTTTTTAGTTATCAAAATATCTAATTTTGTTGCTAGGCAACGAATAGGATTTTTTAAAAAACCCACGCTTTCAAAGTCAATCTGTAAAAGAGAAAGTTCTCTACTTTTATGTGAAAGTCATGCAAAATCTGTTTTAGCTTGGTATTTTTTTTAAATTGACCTTGAATATTGTCAAAATCAAGGAAAATGCTGAATCAGCAAAAATGCAAAAACATACATATATTCTAATGTCTACCATGGTACTAGCTTCAGATAAAATATCAATGTCTTGTGATCCAAAACATTTTTTATTTTACATACATGGATCATAGGTCAAGAGAAATCTATGTGTGGAAAATCATTGAATTATGAGAACCTGAGTGAATCACCTTTTGCATGATTTTTATATGGACTGGTACTTAAAGCGCTTAAATGAAATAAATTAAGTGAGAAAAATTGTTTTGCTACTTTATTATTCTGTATACGTATTAACTTATTCCGTTAAAATAACTAAATATATGAGCGATGTAACGCAAAAACTTGCCTGAGGACTCAGAAATTTTGAGTCTAGTATAGCTTTGTAGGTAGTTAATCTGCTTAATACGCAGGGACTCTTATTAAGCAACAGTCGTAAATTTAAGCCTTAACTGAGGTGTACTTACGGGGATTACACGTAATGAGATGTGTATCTTATAAGAAACATATTTATTTTTTGTCTTGTCCGATTTTGACTTCTTTATGTCGGCCGACCAATTTTGTGTCCATCAGTCAAAGTTATAATTTTTTCTGCATCGGTGGCCGATTTCTTCATTACAATTGAAGCAATCTGTCGACCAACTTTCGATCATCGTCCGACCGTTGGCGGTCAGTTTATAAATTCGGTCGTCCATCGTTCGACAAAAAGGGTATTAGGATATCCGCTTCGCAGCCAGGAAGGATAACTCTTCAATAGTCTAAAAATGAAGCTTTTCTGATCAAAATTGTCTGTTGTCGTTAACTTAATTTTGTATTTTATTTTCATCAATGATTTTTCATTAAAAAAAATATTAAGTATATCCAACCTTTCTAACCATAAATTTTTTTAGACTACTGAAGAGTTATCCTTCCTGGCTGAGGAGTGAATATCCTGAAAAAAATAACCTTTATGAACATTTATCCTTAAATATTAAGCCTACCTGTAAATTGAGCATCATCGCGAATAACGGCAAATTGTGCTCCACCCAGTCCATAATTTTCTTTCTATTGAAGGAAAAAAAAGTCATTATATGTAATGAATTTTTTTCGCAAATTAATTTTTTCCGTAAATCTATTTTTATAAGATTATATCTCATTTAAATCTCAAAGACTTGAAATTAAAAGGTTTGTTATCATCGTATGTTCTATAACAAAGCTACCTGAACTCTACTCATTTTGAATTTCAATATGTGTAGTTATTTGAATTTAATTTTTTTGAAAAATAAAAAAAATTACATGTATTGTTAAAATTATTTCAATTTATTTGAAAAGCACGGCGGACATCCGGTCAGTCAGGTCTCAAGTGGTTATAATATTGTTGGATGATTTTTTTTAGAGTTCTACACGGAAGCCGGTAAGAAAATTATTCCTCCTGTTTTAAATGTAACATTGTTTTGTCCCCGCGAAAGCGAGAGGACATTAAATCTCATTCATCTGTCCGTCTGTACAAAACTGTCAGTCTGTCATAAAAACTTTCACTTTGGCCGTATCTTTTGAATGAGAGGAAATAGGACTTTCATATTACACATGTACATGTAAATTACCTGTGATAAGATAATTTATCCAATATGATGTTTGACTCCACAACCTTGGCCTAGAAGATTGTCCTAATTTTCAAAAAAAAAATTTCGTCATGATACTAGTAGCTTTTGATAGAGAAAGGGCTTTCATATTCGACAAGTGTATTACCCCTCACAGGATATTTCCGCTCATGCTATGATTTCTGACCCCTTGACTTTCATGTTTGATCTAAGATTAAAAATAACAACTTTGGTGGAGTGCATTTGAATATGAAAGGCATATGAAAGAGTATGTCTTAAACCGTAACATAAAACAAACTTAGCGAGACCTTAACTAGTTAAATTTTTCTTATAAATCACGCTAGTTTTTCAATTTATATACTTGATGATAAATATTCAGTTGTAATGTTTGATTTTATATGTATATAATTATATAATCGACGTTTTTTCTTAATTTTTAGGGAGGACATTATATTTCGTACGAAAGTTCTGTTAGAATGAATTTTTTTTTTAATTTATTGTTTTTTCATGGTTTTACAAAAAGAAAAATGAGAGAGAGAGAGAGAGAGAGAGAGAGAGAGAGAGAGATGGGGGAGAGCGAGAGAGAGAGAGAGAGATCAATTGAATAAATTCTTCCAAAACTTCCAGGCCTCATCAAATTTTTCTTGTTCATTGTTTTTCTTTGCTATTGTTTTATTAGTGTCATATAATATTTTTATTTTTATTTTTTATGGAGGACATCAACCCATTCAGAGAAAGTGTTCTCTCATACTGTAAATAAAATACTTTATTTGTAGAGCAATAAGAGTTTTCACTTTTTCTGACTTCATATGTGGTTCCAATATAAAATCTTTCTTTGAATATGTAATATATTTATGATGATAAAATGAATTTTAATATTTAAGGAATTATAAGTGTCTTATTTTTCGATTTCATGATGTGATCATCGTCATGAAATCGAAAAATATGACAGTTATTCCTTATATTTACATACTCTTGATTCCGCCAATCCACGGGCTACAAGCCCTGCTTCTGTCTCTCTATTTGTCCTGCCCTGCACGCGAATTTTTGAACTGCGGCTATCGATGAACCAGTACATTGATGAGGAAATAAAGAACATTAACTATTTGTAATGCTATCTCGGACAAAGACATTCATATTTGGAAATGTGAAAATAAAAAAATCAAAATGCATGCATGCAATTATACGTTTAATGTAAATCTTATGCATTACTTTTGCTTTATCTTTTGAGGCTGCTGAGTTTTCTGTGATCTTTTGTTTTTATTCTTTTGCTTGAGAAATGATTGTTCACTTGCTTTGTCATTCTTGTAGACATGGCATGAAAATTAAACGTCACAATTATTGGAAGAGGTACTCTCCGTCATATAACTATGTACATAGTTTATCGGCTTAATACCCAGATACAGTGGAAACGATTTTCAAAGAATTTCATAAACATTAGAGCCCTGTCCTTACATCAGATTCCCTGACCCAGGGACTGTGAAATTCAAAATTTTAAAAGAAGCACCCTTATTAATTATAATTATCCATTAAGTTTGTTTAATACCAAGAAGAAGAGAAAAAGATTTTCAAAGAAATACCGGTATGCACTTTCACTATATGATCTAATAGCCCGGCTCTAGCACTAGAACCCCTGAACCTGAGGCCATGAGTTTTACAATTTTAGTAGAGGACTGCTTGATATCAAGGAGAAAAGAAAAAGATTTTCAAGTGGGGCAGTGGCCATGAATTTCACATATTTTGTTCTTCACCCATTGATTTTATATGCCAAACTTAGTTTAAATTGATTCAGTGGTTCCAGAGAAGAAGCTGAAAATGTTCAAAAGTTTACGAACGATTGATGGCATACAACGAACGACGTACGACAACGGACTGAAAACAGGTGGCAACAGGTCACCTGAGTGACTCAAATGACCTATAAATGTTAAAACATAGTTACGTAACCTCTACCGACCGCCTAACTTTTGATAAGATTAGCATATTTAAGCTCGACTCTAGTTACGGTCTTAAGATTGAGACTGTACTTTAGTCCTACATAAGTGTACATAAGTATGGCCTTAGAATTACAAGTAAGTATCCTCTATGTTGCAACCCCCAACAGCAGAGGACCACAATTCTTTGAAATTGATTGTTTTCAATAGGAATCATTCATCATCATGAAATTTATTTAGTCATATTTATTCACGAAATCCGGAGAAATCTTTAAATTTGAAATTTGCAAAAAGGGAAAAGATCTTCCTTAAGAAAACAAAAGGATTTGTAGGATTTTTATTCCGATTGATTGCATGATTTGCTGAACGTGGACCAATTCATTTCCAATTGGCGATATCACCTATTCGACAAAGTAATATCATTTATTCAATGTGAATAAGTGATATCACTTATTCGAATAGGTGATATCACTTATTCGAAAACATGATATCTTTGTTTGCGTGTAAATACCGAAACAGCGCCTCGTAGATGTGTTCAGAGTGAAACAAATTGAGTACATCTATTAAAATAGCATGAAACAAAACAGCTCGTTTCCCATTTACAAAAACAGGTGTTTGATCGGAGGGATGTAAATAAAGTCGTTTTCATTGAACTCTAGGAATAACCATGTAGTTCAATTTATTTTACTGGTTTTATTCTTAGAATATTTACATCCATTGAACATTTTCTCCTTTATTTCTTAAGAAAACCCATTGCGTTAATCACTGCATGAACTACAGTCGCCATGTCGCCTGTACAGATTTCTTGATCAGTGGCTGTTCCATCAATAAAACGTATAAAGACGTTCGAATCATTAATACAATAATTAATCTTTTAAATCCTACTTTAAATGATTATTTAAACAGATACAAATATAAACAATAAAATGTTACGCGGGTTATGTTTTTTTTTTTTGCAACAGCTGCTTCCGTTAATTCCAGTTATAACAAAGAAAGCATTTTATTGTTTAAATAAACAGAAAAATTCAATGTCCAACTTCCCTTACTTATGTAGCAATATACCTTTATCACCGGAAAACAGAGTTTATATATCTAAGATTCTTCGATACGCAATATGCTTTACGTACATGTACATGTATGAACAACTTTTAGAACGATGCAAGTTATTGAAAAACAAGTTGCTTACACAAAAGCTGCACTCTCGTTTAAAGTCATCATTTCGTAAATTCTACGTTCGATACAAAGAACTTGTCGGCAAAACAACTTATCATTCAGTCAAATGATGACTTACGTCTTTCATACTAAATTTTAGACCATTATATACTCACTTAATTTTCTACGGATTTTCCGTTATTTAACGATTATGCCAAGGAGTTAGTAGTGGATCTTCACTCCTCCATGGCACTTGATCTCATCTCTGATGTTTAAGAGAACCGTGTTTGCTCTGCTCCAACTTTGTATTCTTTAATGGGCCTTTGAGCTTGAATACTGTTCGTTATTTCCATATATTTCATGCAACTGTTCCCAGGCCCCTTTACGGTCTAGAAGACATTTCTCTAGCGACTAAAGTCAACATTCCGAAAACAACAGAAATGAACAGTTTGTTTGTGAAGAACTTGCAATAAAAAAATTAATACACGAATAAAGTAAACAAACAGGCGTTATACTGCCTTTTGAAAAGATGGTTTCTAAAAGGATGAACCTGAAAATAATTATTGAGCAATGAACTACGATCGTCTCCAACAACACATTATTTATTTTGTAGAAATTAATACTGATTTCAGAGTGAATAGAAATATTACTTGAAAATTCTTAGATATTATGGAGTGCTATAAAGAGTGGTAATAATTCTTTTCGACTTTTAAGTATGTTCGTACTGCAATCATGGAGACTGCGCGACTACAAGCAAATGTTCTTAAATAAACACTGTTTAAGTTGCAAAAATGAAAAAAAAAGATTTGTTAAACTACACGAAACAAAAAACTGAAGAGATTAAAAACCTTCATAGACACAACGTCTTACATACTGACAATCAGATTTTGGAACGCAGTTCGCAGTTTGTATTTTAAAAGTGAATTCTAGAACGCAGTTCACAATTCAAAAATTTAACATCTTCATGGGGTCTGGAGTTTTGAGGGTGCAAGTGGTCATTAACCACTTCTTTCTTGATGACACCATCTCTAGTTTCCGAGATACAGCCCTCGAGTTTTTAAGCCTAGTATATTATACTATAAGAATAAACATCATTATCGGGGACATTGAAGTCCCCTGTCCCGGGGTATGAAATTTAGACTGAAAAACTGGAGGGCTATACTGTAGATTGGCAAATAATCACGATGGTTTTAATTTCAATATAATCGCGATTCATCATTTATCCGCGACATTAAACTCATCGTGAATGCTATCAGTTGTTTTTAAAAACGTTTAAATGCTTATACGAAATTTAAACAATTTATATCCGCGTGAAATTAAAACCATCGCAATGGGTACTTTGTAAGAAATCGTGAAATTTTAACTTAACGGAATTAAAACAACTTACAGTATGTATTATAAATGTAAACATGCTCGTAAATCAATCCATATACGCTTACGGAACATTATTATCAACACTGACCTCTAGCATAAAACAAAACAAACAGTAGAAACCGACTACACATATCTAGACTTTTCATTTTTTTTATATTGAAGGAAATTTAAATTAATTCTTTTAAAAGTTTCCCTACCTTAAACCAATCTTCAGGAATATCTGTTGCATTACTTTCTGTAATCATAAGTGTAATCTTTCCTACATTGTATGGACTCATATATTTTAACCACCAATGTGCCTCTGAAAAAAAACACAATACAGTACGTATGATTAGCTCTTATCAAATTACCTTATAGACTTAAGGACCATTTATACACTAAACCAGATTGTTTCTGGGAACTGTGATAATAATTATTATATTAGTTATATACATGTAGATGTATTTTTATCGAGCTCATTCCTTGAATTTTATTGTTGAAAGATATCTAAGTATTGCTAAATAAAGAAATAATTATTGTTTAAGTTAAATTGGGAATATATTTGTAAGTAAGGAGTTAAACTATTTTTATAGTAAAACAGAGAAAATTTCAACTTAAATTCATGATCAATTCAACAACCTGTTTCTGTGTGCTCTTCAATGAATTGAATGAACACTCTCATCAGTTAAAAAATACCCTTGATTTTTAAAGCTGAGTGATTGAGGGATCGAGTAAAATAAAAGAAAAATGAAATTCTTATACTTGTAATTATAATAGACAATTTATACATTATATAGACATTTTATACAGTTCTTAGCATTACAGCTTTTCTTTCAAAGAAAAAATGTACCTATTTTTGGTTGGGGTGTATCAAATATTTATATCCACTGAATATTTATTCCTTTATTCCTTAGGAAGACCATTGTCATTAATCCGTGCATGAACGATACTAAGCAAGTCAGGTGCACAGATTTCTTGAACAATGGCTGTTCCATCAGTTAAGCACGCAATGGCATATTCATCAGTAATACAATATTTAACATATTTAATTTTACTTTGAATGGTTTTTTTTCCAAACATATGTAAATAAATTTAAGTTTACTTAAAATTTTTTATTGTAATCAATAAGTGTCCTCCTTGAATGTGAAAGTCTGAAATACTGTATAGCTGTGCTTTGTAATGGTAATTTTGTTCCATGTCTTACCGTGGTAGGAGAGGCAGACATTGACCAATCAAAATCTGACCAATCAAAATCTAACAAATGAAATTCTGACCACGCGGTGCGTTACTCTGCCTTTTCTCCCATCTACATCCTTGGAGGACGGACGTTGTTTCAAAGTTTGTTATTTATTTTATCAAGATTTTGGTGAGTAAAATTATTTCATTATGTCTTCTATGAGTAAAACTTCAGTTGTCATTCTTGGACACTCAATTGTGCGTCGTTTTAATGAATTCTTGAAATATGGTGACATTAGGTATTCTGCGAGCCTTGGTCTTGGAGAAACGCATTCCGTTTTGTACAGGGGTGTGGGTGGAAGAAAGGTTCGTGATGTAATATCTAAGGATATGGAGAGCGTGTTTGCTTTAGGTCCAGATGTAGTTGTTCTAATGATTGGGGAGAACGATATTAGTCCTAGTACCGATGCTACCTTGTTAGCTGCAGAAATTGAATCTGTGGTATCGGTAATGCATCGCCGCTATAAAGTTGCGAAAATAATTGTTTGTAAATTATTGCCACGATTTGGTGTTCGTTTTGGGTACAATAATATTGCAGACAAAGTAAACGCAATATTGAGAGATGCATTGCCAGCACTGGGTTACTGCGTATTTTGGGAACATGGGAATTATTTCGTTTCTCCCCGTGAAGGAGACTGCAGTCGTAAATTTGTTCACGGAGTTCATCTGAACAGTCAAGGGAATGTTCATTTATATAGGAGTATAAAGGGAGCTTTAATTTCAGCGAGAAAATAGATATACATCTAAGTCATAAAAGTTTGTCACCATTTTGTTACTTTTATTGTTCGACAATTTTTCAGATAGATATTCTTTGAAATTATACAACATTTTGTTATTTTAACAGTACGATAGGCATTTAGGATGTCTAATAATGTATAACAGATTTATTCTTTTTCTGTGAAGAAAATTCGGTTGGAAACAGTATCAGCAAATTTGATTGTTTTGTTGTTAGTTTAATTTTTACAGTACTTTAGGCAGATCCTAAGTACAAGTTTCAGGCAGTTTTTTGTACTTGCCAAGTTTCAACCCATTTGGGTTTTTTCATTTTAGTTTCGGCTTTTACCATGCAGATGGCGATTTTTTCCATCGTTTTTTATTTGATATCTAGGAATGTATTTTAAAGCATTCCAGATTTATCCTTTTTCTGTGAAGAAATTCGTCGGAAGAATGTCTGCCAATTAGTTTGTTTCGGTATTAGTTGATTACTAAAATATTGTGAATTTTTACAGTACTTTAGGCAAGTCCTAAGTACAAGTTTCAGGCAGTATTTTGTACTTGCCAAGTTTAAACCTGTTCGGGTTTTTTCATTTTAGTTTCAGCTTTTACCCTGCAGATGGCGATTTTTTTCCATCGTTTTTTATTTGATGTCTATGCCCTAACAAAAAAATACTATAGTAAACTATAGTTAACTATAGTTTACTATAGTTAACTATAGTAAATCAAAGTTCCAAAGTTTTCACTATAGTAAATCAAAGTTCCAAAGTTTTCCAAAGTAAATCAAAGTTCCAAAGTTTTTACTATAGTAAATCAAAGTTCCAAAGTTTTAACCATAGTAATTCAAAGTTCCAAAGTTATTACTATAGTAAATCAAAGTTCCAAAGTTTTCACCATAGTAAATCAAAGTTTCAAAGTTTTCATAGTAAATCAAAGTTCCAAAGTTTTTTCCATAGTAAATCAAAGTTCCAAAGTTTTCACCATAATAGTTAATCAAAGTATTAAAGTTTTTGTATATTTTAATGTTTTTTTAATTATTAATCTGTTTTAAGGACGATGATTTTGGTTTGTTTGGGCTGATTTTCGTTATTCATCTCAATTTAAATATGCAAAGTAATTAATTTAAATGCATTATTTACATTGAACGGTAGAAAAAACATGTTGATTGATGTTTAAAAAGCAAAAATTTTGATTCTAAATGACGGGATTTTTATCTCATAGTAATTTTTTCTCCATAAATAATAATAAATATTGCTTATTTATCGGTGCAAGGACAATTTATTCATTAAAATTCATTTTTTGTACTTTGTTCTTTTAGGGGACGAATCGGGTTTTTAAAACGTTCATTGAAGCTGTAATAAATTATTCTTGTCATTTCATAAAATGTACAAAAAGAGAATCAAAACCATAATTCCACGGGTTTTGTAGTACTTAATCAAAGTTCCAAAGTTTTCACTATAGTAAATCAAAGTTCCAAAGTTTTCACCATAGTAAATCAAAGTTCCAAAGTTTTCACCATAGTTAATCAAAGTTCCAAAGTTTTTACCATAGTAAATCAAAGTTCCAAAGTTTTTACCATAGTAAATCAAAGTTCCAAAGTTTTTACCATAGTAAATCAAAGTTCCAAAGTTTTCACCATAGTAAATCAAAGTTCCAAAGTTTTCAACATAGTAAATCAAAGTTCCAAAGTTTTCAACATAGCAAATCAAAGTTCCAAAGTTTTCACCATAGTAAATCAAAGTTCCAAAGTTTTAACTTTGGTACTATAGTTAACTATAGTAAACTATAGTTAACTATAGTTAACTATAGTTTACTATAGTATTTTTTTGTTAGGGTGAATGTATTTCAATGCATTCCAGATCGACTTATCCTTTTTATGTGAAGGAAAATCGTTGGAAATTGTCTGCCAATTTGTTTGTTTCGGTATAAGTTGATTACTAAAATATTGTGAATTTTTACAGTACTTTAGGCAAGTCCTAAGTACAAGTTTCAGGCAGTTTTTTGTAATTGCCAAGTTTCAACCCATTTGGGTTTTTTCATTTTAGTTTCGGCTTTTACCATGCAGATGGCGATTTTTTTCCATCGTTTTTATTTGATATCTAGGAATGTATTTTAAAGCATTCCAGATTTATCCTTTTTCTGTGAAGAAATTCGTTGGAAGAATGTCTGCCAATTAGTTTGTTTCGGTATTAGTTGATTACTAAAATATTGTGAACTTTTACAGTACTTTAGGCAAGTTCTAAGTACAAGTTTCAGGCAGTCTTTTGTACTTGCCAAGTTTAAACCTGTTCGGGTTTTTTCATTTTAGTTTCAGCTTTTACCCTGCAGATGGCGATTTTTTCCATCGTTTTTTATTTGATGTCTATGAATGTATTTCAATGCATTCCAGATCGACTTATCCTTTTTATGTGAAGGAAAATCGTTGGAAATTGTCTGCCAATTTGTTTGTTTCGGTATAAGTTGATTACTAAAATATTGTGAATTTTTACAGTACTTTAGCCAAGTCCCAAGTACAAGTTTCAGGCAGTCTTTTGTACTTGCCAAGCTTTTACCCGTGCGGGTCTTTTCATTTTAGTTTCAACTTTTACCCCGGCGATTTATTTTCCATCGCTTGTTTATTTGATTAGTCTAGAAATGCATGTTGATGCGTTCCAGATTTATCCTTTTTCTTATAAAAAGAAAACAATTCGTTGGAAAAATATCTGCCAATTTGTTTGTTTCGGTATTAGTTGATTACTAAAATATTGTGAATTTTTACAGTACTTTAGGCAAGTCCTAGGTACAAGTTTCAGGCAGTCTTTTGTACTTGACATTTAGCCGTTTTGGTTTTTAATTCATGTTAGGCCCATTTTTACCTTGATGATTTTTATATCGATTTCACTTCAAGTTTATTTACCTAATCATTTTCGATTCAATGGTCCAGATTATGGAAGAATTAAAAAAAAAAAATCCGCATTTCACTTTTGAAGGTACAAGTTTATTGTTGCTATCCCCTTTATATAATATTGAGTCTTGTACAAATAGTTGTTTTTCATTATTCATTTATTAAGGTTTTATTGTTCTGCAACTGCGCTTAGATACATTACAAGCCCTTCAAGTACCTCGTTTGAAGTAGTGATGAAAACAATTAACAACAGCCGAACAGGTAGAACTTTATCTGTGGGAAAGGCACTACAGCCTTCTTGGGAATTTGACACGGTGCGAGGGGTGTCGGCTTCAAAGGTGGTGATTTATTACTTACGTCAGCCTTTCGTTTTATGTGGCGGATAGTTCTTACTGATCAGCAGCGGCTTAGTGATGTTGACTAATGGCATTTGCAGTCGCACAATGGACAAATCCAGAACCCAAAAACCATTTCAAGGAAAT